GTGTGTGTGTGTATGTGTGTGTGGGGGGGAAGGTGTGTAAGTGTTAGTCGTGTGGGGATGCCCCCTCACGGGGGCGTACGTGTCTTTTGGTGTATTTGTCTGTCTGGTATATTGTTTGTCGGGGGTCGCAATTTTAAAGAAATGTATTCTAAAGTAATGCAAATAACTGATAAATAAGTAAAAACTTACCTGGGCATAACCCCGGCACAGGTGCTGTAACAAAGATGCCGACGGCGTCTATGCTTAAGCCGGGGATTAGGTCGGTGATTAAAAGGAAAGAAAGGGATTCTTTCCAGGTAGCCTTAATAAAGGCAGGTAGAATTTGCTCCTTGCACTACACTTTCACAAAACACGTGTGCTCTGGTCGGCTGCCCGCTAGGAACTGAACAACTCACCGCAAAAAAATACATGGCAAAACCACAGTTCATCATTAAGCTGTGGCAAAACCACAGAGTACCTACCCGTACTCTGTGGCAAAACCTCAGCGCGTGAACTTGAACTTTAGTTCACTTATAAACCGATAAAGTTTCTTAAAATTCTGCACATATTTAATACAATAGTATAGTCCGAAGGAATTACTCATGAAGACTACATATATCTATCTATATATATCTAGTCTCCATGGAATTAGTGTTAAAAAACTTTCATTTTCCCATTTTTTACAATATAAAAACACACTGCTACCACTACGAAATTCTATAAGAAAAAAAAACTAAATATTGTGCCTATTTTATTTTTTAAAGAAATTATTAGCTGTGATGAAACGATGAAATATAATATAAGAAAGAATTATGTAATTCGTTACTGCAAAATGTGAATAATAAATAAAAATAATTAAAATAGTTTTAGTTACCAACAGCTGTTTAAAAACTCAAAATTCCCTGCCTCGCTGACACTTGACACCAGGGTTGCCAGATTGGGCTACTTATCGCCAATTGGGCTATCTCAGATGACTTTCGGCTACTTGAAAAAAGCAAAAATAGCCAGTCGCCAATTTGGGCTATTTCGAGTTTTTACCAGTGTCGGCAATCTGTACAAATCGAATGTTAGAATAGTATATTTATATAAATTCTATTTTTACTCAAGACTGTTAAGTCTATTTTTTGGAATAAAACATTTTATTCGACATATTTTTTATATTTTATATACCCATTTCTGTATTGTGTAGAATCTTAGAATAAATAGGATATTTTTTATAAGTAACGTGTAGATAGTAGAAGAGTAATCTGTGCTAATAGTAAAGTTGTTGCTTGTTGTCAGTTGTACCAAAATAATCTAGTTTTATAATCATATATATATTTACCTTAGTTAAGTAATTATTCCAGAGATGAAGTATTTATTTATTGTCACAGAATTATTTTTGAATTTAAATCTAGTTCTTTAGCACTTATTGCTGCCATCTGTTGAGTAGTAGCTAAATTACATATGTCAAGATCAAAGTGAGCTCAAATTTTTCCCATGTTGCAGCTACTAGATTATTACGGCCATAGTTGTACTTGTATGCATTATATGTTCTGTGGGTTGTATTCTTACCCTTACCCGAGAACAACAAACAGTTACTCTATTTCTCAGGGTTGTCCACATACCACTAGAAAAGGGTTATCCCCAGACTCACAGAACAAACTCAAACCCGAATGGCTTTAAACTTCAAATGTATAAAAATTATAAATAACGGTTTTTGTTAATAGATGTCAGGCTATTTTGGGCTACTTTCAATTTTGGTTTAGGTACTAGGTTAAAAAAAAATCTGGCAACCCTGCTTGACACCTTGACAGATTTCCTTAACTTTTATTGTCTACAAAAAGAAAAAATCAATTTTACATTTAATTAAAAGTACTCTGAAAAATGTCCACACAAAAACTTTCCATGGCGGTAAGTGCAAGGAAGTATTTCTTTACGATTATCCACCGGTAGACAAAGTAGTTGTGCTCTAGAAATGTGTTACATAACTGAAAGTAAGGTTAATTCTTAATTTCTTATTAGGTAAGAAGCTTCAGTACAAGCAATGTCGCAAGCCAGCTCGTAAAGCCCCCAATCCAGCTTTTCGGCATTGAAGGACGTTATGCCACCGCCCTATACTCAGCGGCAAGCAAGCAAAAGTCCCTCGAAGCCGTAGAAAAAGATTTGATCAAGTTGCAGTCGTCCATCAAGACAGACGCGAAGTTACGTACCTTTATCGAAGACCCAACCATTAAGCGTTCAGTAAAATCCAACGCTCTCAAAGCCGTTGGGGACAAAATCTTTTCGAAACCAGAATCCACTAACCTTTTGAGGATTTTAGCCGAGAACGGACGTTTGCCAAAATTAGGCGGCGTCATTAATAGTTTCAAAATCATTATGTCTGCTCACCGTGGAGAGGTACGTTGATTAAAATTTTAACAAACTGTGTATTACTAATTAACTGATTTAGGTTACTTGCGAAGTTATCTCTGCCAAAGAGTTGGACGCCGACCAGAAGCAGAAATTGCAAGGCGTATTAAAATCGTTCGTGAAGTCGAGCGAAACCATTTCCCTGACGACCAAAGTCGACCCCAACATTATCGGGGGCCTGATTGTCAGCATCGGAGATAGGTACGTCGATATGTCCGTCGCCAACAAAATTAAGAAGTACACGGAGCTCATCAGCGCAACCGTTTAATAAGTTTCAATTTACGCTAAAATAGATATTGTAATAGAACTATTATTAAAGCGATTTAAATCGTTAAGTTGTTTTTGTCAGTGTTTTCCGAAAAATGTAAAAGTGACGTCGGAAAGCGAAATTTTCGTCAACGTTGAAACAATTATTAGTTTGGACGTTCATAATTCTTCATTATTTTTAAATCCGTACCTACCTACCATTTTAAATCCTCACAATTCTGATGAAACCACAAGAATCAGTCTATAGTGTTAATTATGTGGGGTAGGGGTGGTATATTATTATTAAGCGGGGTGATACGTTAAAACGCACATGAGGCTTCATCGAAATGTGATTTATTAATACCAAAACTGCAGTACACCTAAATATTTCATTAAACAACGGCTGAAACACTTTGTAATAAAACTTAAATAAAGAAAACAAACGATAAAACTCCTCTAAGATCCCTTATATACGCGGATATATACAATAAAGCTAGTTCAGTTATTAGACGGCTCGATGGTCTCCCCTCCGCGGATCTGCCCCCACCCGATCAACCTCCAGTGCTTCTCCACCCGTCTGCTGAGGGCGATCTTCTCCCCGATCTCGGTACAGACGGGATTGGTGAGGGAGATCTTGCACAAGTCGGCCTTGGTCGCCACCACCCGACCGCCCGTGCTCAGGGAACCGATGTTCACCAGGAGCACTTCCCCTTTCGACAGCCTTTGGACTTTGGCGCCCTTCTTGTCGCCCTCGGTACGCACGCCCAGCAGACGTTTCAGGAGGTAGTAGCTCACCTGTCGACCACAAAAATGTACACGGTTAAACAAAATCTAGAGTGTTATGATTAAAACAATGCACACATCGAGTAGGCACCTCATTCGTTTGTTTTAACACTCGTCACGGCCTACTCTAAAAAAATTTATTATTTTTGTGAACCGACTCACCTCGAGTTCGATGAATATACTGGGCAGAGCTCCGACGGCGCCTAGGACTTGCCCCACAAGACGATCGGCACGACAAAGCGTGGGCTCTATCTTAGTGCCCACGCCGATGAGACCTCCCGGTACGGCGAACTGCAGCTCGTTTTGTTCGGTGTAGAGAGACACGATCCTGGAGAAGATCGGACGACACGTCAGCTTACCCTCCGAGTCTTTGCTGACTAGACCAGGTCTGACCTATAATTTCAAACGATTTGTATCGAGGTAATTTTTCTTCAAGAAACGATCACGTTTACCTCGATTTCCTGACCGACTTTAAGCACCCCCCTGAGGATGCTGCCTCCAGCGACCCCACCCTTGAGATCGTCCACTTCGCAGCCTGGTTTGTTAACGTCGAAGGAACGGATGACGATCAGACGCGGCTCGGACGTGAAGTCCCTGACGGGAACAGGGATTTTCTTCGTAATGTACTCGCAAAGCACCTACAAACATTAAACATTTCAGTAAAATAAAAACCGCGGCTTCCAACATCGTACCTCGATGTTGTACTTCAGCTGCGCCGATATCGGGATTATCGGGGCCCCTTCCGCCACGGTCCCCTGCACGAACTTAACGATCTGCTCGTGCTGCTCCTTGGCCTGCCCCTCTTTGACGAGATCTATCTTATTTTGCAAGATAATGATGTGCTTCAGCTTCATGATCTCGATGGCGGCCAAATGCTCGCTCGTCTGGGGTTGCGGGCACGATTCGTTACCTTTTCAACGAGAAGACGTCAAAGGAAAGTTATTTATACGGATCAGTTACGTACCTGCGATGAGGAGGAGGGCGGCGTCCATGACGGCGGCTCCGTTAAGCATGGTGGCCATGAGGATGTCGTGACCGGGGCAGTCGACGAAGCTGACGTGACGGACCAGCTGGAACCGGCCCGAACAGGCGGGGCGGAGGCAGGGGAAGCTGTCGTCCTTGGAGGAGCTGCCCGAGATGTAGCAGGCCGGACGGGGGCATTTCGGGTTGTCGCACTTGTAAATCTTCGCGTTGGCGTAACCTGGATTGTTGTTAAACGGAGATAAAAGAATTTTTTTAAACGATGGAAAAATTGTCTTTATTACTTGTATTCCTTCGAAAAATAACTGAAATTCGGGTGAATTAAGGCTAATAGCATCGACAACAATGAAAATGCTCTGCTGTTTAAATTTTAAGCGAAGTTTCGCAGAATCTGAAATATTTTTTTGTTTAAACGAGTTAAAAAAAAAATTAGTTTTCACAACGGAATTTGAGGAAATGTACTTACGATAAGTGTTTTTAAATCTAAAAAGTTGAATTTATAAAAAAAGGCTAATAGGCATTAAGGATACACAATATTAGAAATAATTTTATATTCAACTGTCTTACAAACGATGAGAAAACAATAAGAACACATTTTAGTTCACCTCAAATATTTTTATTGAAAAAAAAACATGTTTCTCATTCATATACCTTTTTAATGCAAATATTCGTCACGTTTCTTTTAAATGTCTATTCATACGTGCATTTTGCATATTATAAAAAAAATTATAACTTACAACTAACTCTTTCATAATATTATGAAAAAATAATAAAAGTACTACAGAACGTGAACGTAAAATTCAACATTCGCATGAGTCGCATAACTCAACCATAAACAATGAACATAAAAAATTCATAATAAAACTTTTTGAAGTTACTAAAACCGAAATGTTTATGCTACGCAATTATCAGGCTCGTCAAGTTGTTTTTTTTTAACTCGAATACAAAAATATGCTACAATCACCGTAACATAAAACACGTTTTGTAGCTTCCCAACAATTTGTACTTAACGTTATATAAATCTATTCAATAAAATTTAAAAAACCGTTCAACTAACTTAGTTTTGTCTATACTAAAATCCTTAAATTCCCTAAAATTAATATTCGCTCGATGCATTCAAGGAATAAACAAAATAGTACAATATAAGGACGATACAACGGCAGTGCAAAGGAATATAACAGTAACAATTAGTTCTTAAATTGAATAAAAAATATTGCCTATATCGAGATACCAAAACAGAAGTTCAAGGAATTAAAAAACATACAATCTGGATCAAGGTAACAGACAAAAGGGGCAATTCTAATTCGTGACGTTAAATTTTAAAAGGGTGTTAAAATTTTGAGTCACCTGGACACCTTTTCAGTGTAGACTATTGAATATAGGATTTTAGAAGGAACTATGACGTTCAAGATATTTTATTACATGAATCGGTCAAATTGTCATTTAAGATGAAAAAACCGCGGAGTGCTATTAAATTAGAGGGTGGAAATTGGAGATAGGGGTGAAAATGCACCCCTTTCAGTTTTTTAATTGTAGCTCGAAAACAAAGCAAAATTTCGCTATAGTTCATAGGAGAAATTATTTAGAGAATTGAATGTCCCATGGAAATAGCTTATTTAAAAAATTTAAAAGAAAAATTTTATGCAAAAAATCGTTAATAAACAATTTTAAAGAAAGCAAAAAATAAGATTTTCTGATTTTGTTTTACTTTTTTAATAAAATAATTTAGTAAAAACTTGAGAATGTAAGTTCAATAAAGTTTATTAATATTAATGTATATACAGTGTGTCCACGGATGGAGTTGACGAGAGGAGAAACTCTTGTTTTTGACTTTATCAAAAATGTCGCTCTTTATAAAAAGTTCTACTCCTCGAAAAATTGATACTGTCATCTTAGATTAGATATACATATAATTTTAAAATCAAAATTTCTATTTTTGAGGTGGGAAATAGCTATACATATAGAGCAAAAGTCAGAATTGAAATTTTGATTTTAAAATTTGTATTAGGACATTATTTGAGGTTATAAACCGATTTGTTTTATAAAAATGTATAAAATAATAAATAATGGTACTTCTCTCTTGAGTATTTTCGTGTTTTTTTAATTTATGAGCACCCTGTATATTTAATCTAAGATATTTGTATGACAGTCTCATTTTTTCGAGGTGCAGAACTTTTTAGAGTGACATTTTTCGAGTCAAAAACAAGAGTTTCTCCTCTTGTTAACTCCATCTGTGGACACACTGTATATACATTATTAATAAACTTTATTGTACTTAAATTCTCAAGTTTTTACTAAATTATTTTATTAAAAAAGTTAAAAAAATCAAAAAATTGCTTTCTTTAAAATTGTTTAATGATTTTTTGCACAAAATTTTCCTTTTAATTTTTTTTAAATAAGCTATTTCGATGGAAAATTCAATTAAACTCTCTAAATAATTTTTCCTACGAACTATAGCGAAATTTTGCTTCACTTTCGAGCTATAATTAAAAAACTGAAAGGGGTGCACTTTCACCCCTATCTCCAATTTCCACCCTCTAATTTAATTGCACTCAGCAGTTTTTTCATCTAAAATGACCATTTGAACGATTCATGTAATAAAATATCTTGCTTTTAAAATCCTCTATTCAATAGCCTACAAGTGCGTTCAAGGAATTAAGAGACACGCAACCTTTTCAGTAGACAGTCAGTTTGAATTGCGCCATCTATTAATACGAAGTTCAACTAAAATCTCATACCACTCCCTTTATTTGGCAACAGAGAACAGAGTTACTATCAGAAGTATTCTGTAATAACATGTCCTTAGTTTAGTACGTCATAAGGTTGATAAAAAGACGTGCGATTCGAATAAAAAATTTTAGTCAAATAAAAAATCGCATAATAGAACGTCGTGTTCTACATATACATATACATATACGACATATACATATTCTGATTTAATACGGCCAATAATCTGCAGTAAACCTAGGACGTTTGAACTACTTCATCGGATTTTTAATATTCTGATTTAATACGGCCGATGATCTGTAACAAAACTAGGACGTTTGAACTACTCCATCGGATTTTTAAGATTCTGTTAAAATTATCTTGTTATTAATGGTCGCGCAAAATTTTGGCATAAAGAATAGAAAATCCTATTCAATATTTAACGGATACGTTAAAAATTTAATGACACGAATCGGAATCACCCTTTAAGATAGATTATCTTAATTGTGGATCTTTGACGAAAAAAATTACTTGTTTTTGGCTTTAATTTTAAACAAAGATCGAAACATCACGGAAACCCTTACAAAATTATCCAAAAATATCCCCATGTTTTGTATTATTACAAAATCCCATTTTTTTTAAAAAAGCCCAGATCGTTGGTCCGTTATAGACACATCGATACATTGTCAGCCTAGTGACGTCATACACAGCTTACAGCGTCCATAGGAGACCGACGACCAAATAAAACTAAAACCATGTAATACTGTTTCCAACGTTTATCCTCCTAGAACAAATATCTACGACAGGAATCGGCGTCGCACTTGCAAATATTCCTCCCGTTCTGGATAACCTCGTTCTTGTCGGGGGTGTGCAGGAACCTCGACTTTTCGGGAGTCGTCGGAACGACGGGATCGATGTTCATCATATAATCGAACGTTATCTCCTCGTCCCTTTCTATCTCCCTCAGGGCGAACAGAGCCAACTTGGGCAGGTTCGGGTCCCGGCAATTTACCCACACGGCGTACACGCCTAGATTCGGGTCGCACGAATGGTTGATAAAATGCGAAACGTTACCGTACTTAGCAGCGTCGACGGTGTACGGGTTATCGCGGGAGTTGTAATCCAAGTCGAACAGGTAAGTTCGCCCCTCCTGGTCGTAGGTGCGCCCCCTGATCTCCGCCTCCTCGTGCGTGATCACCTCCCCGACGTACTCGCACACGAACTCGCCGCAGTGGATCTTGCGTTTTGCCCTCACGCCCCACCCGCACCCGTTGGACGTGCGGAATATGCACAGGGGCACCTTGCGTCCCTTCTGCACGACCCTGTTCCGACAGTCGGGGCCACACTTGCAGAGCTTGTTGCACTCGTATATGGGGGTGCCGGGGTTGACGTTAACCCGGAGGCCCCCCTTCTTGTAGGTGAAACCGTTGTGGGGCTGCCGTCCGCAGCACCCTTTCAGCTTCGGCCCGCACTCCTCACACTCGCAGCCCACCTCCGGGTCATCAGGGATAACTATGCCGTCCGTCGCTACGTATTCGTTCACGTAGATAAAACCGTCGGGCAGACACTCCAGGTCTATGTTGTTCTCTACAGTGATCGCCGCTTCATCTTTCACCTTCTCGTGGACCATCTCCTCCCATTCCTTCAGTTGTTTCACTTGCACTTCCCGTTTTAGTACCAGCTGGTACGTTAGGATGGCCCGCTTGCCCTCTTCGAGCTTGTGGATGTGTCTGTCTTGTGGGGGAGTCGCCAGTATCGTCAGTAGCTTCTGCTGCAGGGTGAGTTTGTCCGGTAACAACCTCAAATCGTGAATCTTCAATATTTCTAGTATGTCTTGGTCCGATAAGGTGCTGGACACGTTTAATTTCTCGCAAAGCTTGTCCAGCACCTGTGAACCCAACTTTTCCGCCAAAAACTGCGTCAGCATTAACGTGCAGTGCGTCAAATGCTCCAAAGGCTCCCAGGTGCTCTGTTCCGTGCTATAACCCTTCCATTTGACCAAGAACATATGTCTCCGGGTAGACGGGTTAAATTCCTGCGCCATTATCTTCTCAACGACAAATTCCTTAGAGTACGTGACTCTTTTCTTATTCGGCCTGACCATCCTTAGCTTCTCCAATTTCCTTTTAACTCCCCTACGTTCATTTTCGTAATTTTCAGAGTCCTTCAAGGCCTGGTCGACGTCCACCTTCTGTCCTTGCACGTTATTCGGCCATGTGACAGTACCGTTTTCATCGAACTGGAGTTTCTCTATAAAACCGATAAACACCTCTTTTAATACACAATCAACAAATTCACGGTTTATTTTCAAAAGTCAAGTCATATAAAGATACTTTCAGTTCGATGCAAAGGTTTATCACAAGAATTATGACAGAGACGACAGAATTTGACTGAAAGAAAATGGTGTTAGTTTACAGATTTTCAAAAACACCCACGTATGGTTAACGTCAACATATGAAACCTGCAATTTTAATTTATGGGAACATTTTTGTTTAAATACAAATTGATAAATTAACGTGTTTAAATTAAAAAATTTTATTTGCAATGGGTATTTTTAAAAAACAAATCTTGTGAGAGCAAAGAAACTTAAAAGTATCTTAAAAATAAGAGGCAATGAATAATCTGATGCAATTTGAACAAATACGTTTAAAAAAAACATATTGTGACTGACAATCTACTGAACAATACAAACACTAACAAATTTCGGACACAATTTCTTTCAAAATTCTTCAACGACAAACTAAAATATTTAAATACTAGGTATATTACTACGTCTAAGACAAAATTTCATGTGTGTTACTCATCAAATTGTGAAATTGCCTACATAACACCACATAAAGCTTTCAGAATAAAAACAGTACTCACCAAGCTTAATAGTAATGTTTCGTTCCAGTTCATTCTTAAATCTAACAGTTTGCACCCCAGAAATGGCTTTTACCACAGTAGACTTCCCGTGGGCTACATGTCCAATAGTACCAATATTTATAGTAGCCTGTCTACTGATTACTTCAGGGGACAAAGCAGTTAGCTTGGTAACATCCTGAAATTACAAGAAAAGTGTTAAACAGTCAGTTTCATATAACAAAAAGATATATTGCAACAGATGTCAAACACCAGGGAAAGTGAGGTTAAATAACACATAAAAAATATTTTTCTTGCAAAAATAGATTTCCAATAGTATTAGAGACCGAGAAAAACATTTACATACCAATTTCGACAAATCCTGTTTGTGTAAATTGGGTTGACCTGTAGTCACACCAGAACTTTCGGAAGACGCCATGTTGAACGGACGTTGGTATGTGAAAGAAGGCGGCAAATCCGGCAAAACGCGAAACCAAACATATAGCCAACTAAAGAATTAAAAAATTACTGGAAATTAAAATTATCCAACCAAATATAAGTATTCATAAAACTTTCTCCAAAATATTTTAAACTAAATGAATCTTTTCTTTTATTTTTCAGTACAAGTTTTTAAAATGAGCCCATTATAGAAACGGGTAATTTTTTTATCAATTTGATAATCTACGTGGTCTTACCAATGGTAAAAAATAAATTTACTAAGCGGTGTCATCACTCATCAGTGCCATCTGGCGCAATCATTCATCCATCAGTCACCCAACGACCCAACCCAATTGTCCCATTTGCCCATTTCCATTTGTCCGTTTGTGTCATTAAATGGTTATGTTACAAAAGTGTAAAAATTGTAACTAGTAGTACTTAATAAATGAAAATGATTCCCTTAGATGAATATACCGTGCGAAACACAATATTATTCCTTTTGTGGGCAGAGTTTATATGGGAAACATATTTATCAATAAGACAGGTAATTTTCACAGATTATTCATGAAACGAAATATCATACTAGCATCTAACATGTTTCAGTTCAATAAAGCTAAGAGTGCGAATGAAGTGCCAGATGCATTAACAAGTGTAATGAGCACAGAAGAATTCCAGAAAGCAAAGGACTATTCGATAGCAAAGTTGAAATATGGTTTACTAAAAGACACTCATTCTATAATATTGACGTCAACTGTAATCTACTACGGCCTTTTGGCCACTGCATGGGACTATTCGGAATCGATAAACCCTGTAAGAGGAGAAGTTACCACCAGCTGTATATGGTTATTTGTATTATCGTTAATTTCAACCATTCTTGATCTTCCTTTAAATATTTACTATACGTTTATACTGGAAGAAAAATATGGTTTTAATAAGCAGACTGCGGGATTTTATGTTTGGGATAAAATCAAGGCGTTTTTCGTTAATCAAATAATAGTGGGTATGATCTCGTCTGTTGTAATAGTTATTATCAAAAACGGTGGGCCTTACTTCTTCGTATGGTTGTGGGCTGTAGTGTGCGTCATATCCATGATTCTACTGACGATATATCCCGCCGTTATAGCTCCATTGTTCGATAAATACACTCCACTTCCCGAAGGAGAGCTACGAACCCAAATTGAAGAATTAGCCTTAAAACTTAATTTTCCCTTGACGCAGTTATATGTAGTGGAAGGTTCGAAGCGTTCGTCCCACAGTAACGCATATTTCTATGGTTTATTCAAGTCGAAACGCATCGTCTTGTTCGACACTCTCTTGGCGAAGGACGACGGCACGGGTTGTAAAAACGATGAAATTCTAGCTGTTCTGTCCCACGAACTGGGCCACTGGAGCCACGGTCACATCATAAAGAACTTAATCCTAGTCCAAGTAAATCTATTCCTCTTATTCGCAGGATTCTCTATAATGTTCAAATATTCTCCTCTGTACAAAGCCGTCGGGTTCTACAACACGCAACCCGCCTTGGTAGGACTTTTCGTGGTGCTACAATACGTAATGATGCCTTACAACACTATGTTAAACTTCCTCATGACATGCCTCTCTCGTAAATTTGAGTTTCAAGCCGACAACTTTGCGGTTAACTTGGGGAAAGCCAAACCTCTCGAGAAGGCCTTGCTGCAGCTGAATAAGGACAATCTAGGGTTTCCGATAAACGACGACTTGTACTCAGCCTGGCACCACTCGCATCCACCTCTGTTAGAGAGAATCGCCGTACTGAGGGAAAGTGCGCGTAAGTTGAACTAGTTTTGTATTTACAAACATTAAACACGCCAAAGTGTCGAGGTAAGGCTCTACGTGTCCATATTTTTGTATGTGTAGCTTTCATAGGATACTTGGAACATTTCTTGTACCATTTATATCTTGGTCCCCCAACACAGCATTTGTAAATTGAATTAATAAATTTTTAGTTTAAGAGAGCCGGCGTTGTAATTTATACGTTTTTCATTACTGAAATGGGGCAGCAAATACATAGAAATCTATAACCTTAATCGTGTAGTCAAAATATTAGAAATCTCTTGTAGGAATTAATACTTTATTATTAAAGTTTGGCATGCAAAATAAATGTGACGTCATTTAGTAGGATTTAAAATCGAAGTGCCTTGTATTGACGATGGATCACCTTTCGCCATCTTTTGTTGACACATAAAAAAATTGGGCGGTAAATTTAAATTGTTTGGAAGTAATTTTTAAAAAGTTGTTTTTGTTACGATTTTCTTCTAATACTGAAAATTTATTAGTATACTTACTGGTAAACAAATACACAGCTCTAAAAACAAGTAAAAATTAAATACATATAATATAACCTATAATATTTATTTTGGACGATAAAGTGCAGAAATTATCATATTTATTTGATTGACTTTATTATATGAAAAACTAAGACATGTCAATACTGATTTCCGACATTATTTTTATTACTATTATTCGAGTTAAAGCACAATTAAAAATGTATTAAAAAATTCTGGTTTCAGAACTTCTGTCTTGCGTCTAAAACCAAGTGTAATGTAAATGTAACCTTTGAGCTCTTGTATTTGGTGTGTTTGCTTATTATTGGTTGTTTAATGAAAGGAGTATTTTACAACCAATGAGATATTAAACAAATATACATCTGAAGGTTGTGTAACCACCTTAACTTTGTCAATTGTTTTTGCCATAGATAAAAACAAGTAGTCTTTGCAGGCAAAATTATTTCCTGTAATATTGGCGGACCTCCTATACGCCACCATCTGTCATTGAAATGTTTATTATGTTATGTTCTCAGTCGCTCTAAATGACGTCGCAGTGCGTTATCGATCGAGTCTGAAAATTCAAATTTTGGGAAGGCTACGAATGTATGCAGTTCTGAAAGAAATAATGTGAAACTAGCTTTTTATTGTATATATGCACGACGTATAATCGTGTAGAAATAGATTTTCTATTTGTAAACACGAGATATTTTTCATATATTGTTTAATAGGTTTATTTTAATGATAAAATTAAGCTATATTTAGATACTTGTACTAATTAGTATGATTATGAAATTAAGCAGTAAAGAATATCAAATCGGTGTGTAAATATAAGATATTTATATGTATTTGCACTAGATAGCTTTAACTAACATAAGAATTGTTTTCCCTGGTTATTATGTACTAAAATTTAATATGTTTACACTTTAACAATCTTTGTTTCGATAATTTCTTGCCTTGATATCTGTTCGACAATTCAAATCGTTTTATAAGTTGTTTATAGACCGTGTGCATATTCTTGTATTGTCTAAAGTATCATTTTTAATTCAGGAATTAAATTAATAAATACTGATTATTTAACTTCGATGGTATACTTAAAAGATCAATTACTTTGTGAAGATATTTAACGATGTTATCTGATAAAATCTAATTGAGCGTTACTAAGCAAAAGAAAACAGATAACGAATATTTAAATCCTACGGGGAACTTAAAAAAAAATACTTACGTAACCATTGTTTCAAAAACAACCTTGACATTATTGCACGGAATGTAAAACGATAAAACTTAACATAAAAATATAATTTATTTCACAATAAACAATGTAAAACAATTTTACAGTATAATTACAAAAATAGAAACATTTTCCATTGTGTATATATATAATTCCAAAATGTATAACAGCCCGAGGTCTTTTATCTGCCGTATATAAATATTGTTTTGTATAAACGTTTGTTACAAAAATATTTTAGCTCGCCCAGATCTGAATCACATTTAGTTTTTATGTAAAATATTGTATATAAACGGTATCTCTAAAAGGCAAACGACAGTTGAAGCAGCTTGAATCCTTGTCGACGTCAATTTTAGCACGATTATGTGAACCCAAACTGCTAAAACCAGCTATAAAGTTAACTAAAAAATTTCGCGCTCATATCTCTTGCTTTTTCTCTTTATCCAAATAATTATATTTGATACATCTGGTTAGCTGTACGAGTTGTGCGCCCTCGTTGGTGAAGTGACAAGCAAAAAGGAGCATATTTTGGGGCTGGACTTTCCAAGCGAACCTCATAAACATTGCAGAGTACAGACACAGAGCTGAAAGAATTTTAAAGACTTGTTATGTAATAGATAATTTTTTTTTTCTACTCACCAAAGGTCATTTTGCCACTTATATACTTCGGATCTTTGTTTATGTCAGCCAAAGCAGCTATAGGTATGCCCCAATTTGCCACTGGACCCCAAAAATGTGTGCTGTTTTAACAGAAAATTGTGAATATGTAAATATAATCCATACTGCTTAAAATGCAGTATGGTAAGTAACTAACCTCATCAAATAATTCCTAAATTCTTTGGATTTTAACTGATCCACCAATTTTTTACCCAAGGACGACATTGTTATATTAATTTACTTTTAAATTAGAGCACTTTGCAATTTTGAATTATAAGTGAACTAAATGGTTAGAAGGTTATGTTGACACGTTACGATTTTATGACTTTGCGAGGTCAATGATACTGGCCACTGACATTGACTAAATAAATCTCAGAATAGCCAACCTTGGTAGGCTATCACAATTATTTCTTTATTTCTTTCTTATCTTAGGCTAAATATTTCTCCTTTATCATTTTACACCGAAACATTGCACAATTACGTTTGTATGAAAGATTTGATATCTCAGTACCTAAATCATTTACTAAATTTTTTAACAGATGCTTTTCATGTGAAATCTTAAGCATAAATATTTATATTCTATACTAAGAGTCGTATGACACTATACTAAAATTATAACTAATTTCAGTAATTAATTAAGAACTCTTTAATCTTGCATAGTATCATACACAAATTGCAACAAAAATTGTAGCAGTTTCTGTATGATACTATGCAAGATTAAAAAGTTCTTAGTTAATTACTGAAATTAGTTATAATTTTAGCATAGTGTCATACGACCCTTAGATTAGGGCTCTCTTTCCTAATCTAGATTATTTCCTTAGAGCATGTACTACCTGAAGGAAATGCCTCTTGTTAAAAACTATAGACGCTGTAGAGAGAAAAGGCTATAGTTTGGTTCTTGCTCACTCTCTCTAATAGTAGAGGAAGGAGTTCCGTTAGCCAATCACGTGCCTCTGCGAGAGAGAAAGATGGTACCCAAAATATCTCTTTCACTTTCTGTAACTCACTACACTGTCGCCATAAGCGTGCTTCCTCCATGCTCGAATGTTAGCAGAGATCACAGGGTAGTTTAAATACGGTTAGAAGCGCATAACTTACCTTCTAGTAATCAAAAAACGGCAAAAACATATCGAGAGTTTACGAAAATTAACATATTGTCTAAAACCATAAGAATAACAAGAACAAAATAGAGCGAATTTGCTGTAAACCTAGAAAAAATACTAATAATTGGATCTTATTAGGGGCATAGATGCTCATGGTAAGCTCATTCGAAAGAGCCCATACTCTGGTAGAACGTCTAAGAAAAGAAGAGGAAGAAGAGGAGACACAGCAGGGAAATCAGGGAATGTATCGCGCGAAATTTTTTTTAGATTGCAATTGCAAAGGTGTTTTCATGAGTAACTATTTAGTTACTCTTATGGGTGTTTTAGTACTTTTAATTTAAAAACCAATACATTGTTTATTTCCCAATTCATGAAACAACCGTAAAATGAAGGAAAGGAGTCAAGAAAAAAGCAAACCGCTTCTTAAAGAAGATTTGTCAAACTCAAATTTAGACGAGGATTCAGGAGATGAAGGGGTAATCGAAGCTTTACCAAATCCTAACCTCAAAACCTTTTTTATTTACCTTTATTGCAGGATGAAACATCAAGTGTTGGAAGTACTTCCACCACAGACAACACCTCCAGAAGTGCTACACCCACAAACAGACTCCGTAAAGGTCGTAGGGGCAAGAAAAGGTTGAGTAACCCCCCGAAAACTCTGAAACCGATTTACAAATTTTCGTAAGTACTTACCGAAACTACCACCATCTTTTTTGCATATTGTTTTATAGTTGTAGCATTAAAGAGGATCACGGTCAACCACTGTTTGGCGCTCAGTTCAACCATTACCTTAAAGAAGGGGAACCGTTTGTATTCGCAGCCGTCGGAAGCAACAGAGTGACCGTTTATGAATGCCCCGAGGGAAACGGTATAAAATTACTTCAGTGTTACGCCGACCCAGACGTAAGTACTTCATTTTTACCCGAAACCGCCATCAACTTTTAATTATGCAACAGCTGGACGAAAACTTTTACACCTGTGCCTGGTCGTACGACGAGGACTTAGGAAAACCGTTATTGGCCGTCGCAGGGTCTAGGGGAGTGGTACGCATTTTAAACCCGGCAACCATGAGCTGCATAAGACACTACATAGGCCACGGTCACGCCATAAACGAATTGAAGTTCCATCCTAAGGATCCAAATCTTTTACTGTCCGTTTCGAAGGACCATTCCTTAAGGCTGTGGAATATTAAGACGGACGTGTGTATCGCTATTTTCGGTGGGGTCGAGGGCCACAGGGACGAGGTTTTAAGTGCGGTGGGTGTATTTTATCCCCACAAACTTGTTTTTTACTTTGTTTAATTGTAGGATTTTGATTTAATGGGGAACAGGATTATGTCCTGCGGAATGGACCATTCCCTGAAGCTGTGGCGACTGGATAAGGATACAATGAGGGAGGGTATAAAGCAGTCGTACGGTTGGAACGCAAATCGAAACACGAGGCCCTTCGACTGCTTAAAGGAGAATTTCCCGGACTTTTCCACCAGGGACATACACAGGTTAGATTATTTAGTAACGATATTAGGTCAGGGCTTAGTCTGCAGAGTAGTTGTCTCCCGCAATACCAGTTTAAAAATGTTTAACGATCGGATTTTTTTAGGAACTACGTAGATTGCGTTCGGTGGTACGGAGATTTCGTTTTGAGTAAGTCCTGCGAGAACTGCATAGTTTGTTGGAAGCCCGGTAGGTTGGAGGACGAAAATTTGAGGAAAGGCGAGACGAGTTCTACGGTCATTCATCGTTTCGAGTACAAGGAATGCGAGATCTGGTTCGTGCGGTTCGCTATGGACTTTTGGCAAAAGGTAATGTTATATCGTATATCGACTTAAGAGTTAATTAACCGTTTCGTTAATTGATCCAAACAAATTTTAGCTTAACGTTTCAATCGAATGAAATTAAAACTTTTTTTTCGCAGCGTTTCCAATTTAAAAAAAAATAATGCTAGGAATAAACAGTTTATTAAATAAAAAATTGCCGGGGAACCAATACGACTCGTATTTTTATTTGTTACTCACATTTGCTATAAATATACAGGGCGTTGCAATATTCTACTGACAAAATTGTACTCGCGATTCTCTGACAGAAAATAAGAACAAATTTTCTCTTTTGTGAGATATAACCTATAAAATTTATGTCATACCTTAAATGTCATTGTTGTTCAACGCCTACTGGAGGAAAGCATTATTTTGTATCTACTGGCAAATTGACCTACTAGCCTGTAGATCGCCTACGAGACATCACGTTTGGCGATTCTGACGAATTTAACCGTATATACACAAATTTTGACACGTTTTTTTTTAAATAATTATTTCGGTATGTTCAGATCGCGTTTAAAAACCCTGCATAATGGTTTCTAGCCAGTAGACAATCTGATAAATTAACGCGAATTAAAACCAACCACTTTCAAACTAAAACCGACGTTCATGAAAATTTTCTTCCGAAGATCCTCGCCCTGGGAAATCAGACGGGGAAGGTATTCGTGTGGGACCTAGACGTATCGGATCCCGCCCAAGCGAGGGCCTACACCCTGCAGCACCCCAGATGCACGACGGCCATCCGCCAGGCCTCCCTCAGTAGAAACGCGAACATACTGATCTGCGTGTGCGATGACGGCACAGTATGGCGTTGGGATAAAATAGCTTAATGTCGTTTAATTTTAAGTGTGTTAGATGTGACTGTATCGTTTATATTTTATTTGTAATACAACTACAAAAATGTAACTGGTCTACAATTATTGATTTACCTAAAAGCGAGCTTCCCGCGTCATCACGTTTTTTCGTTTCCTTGGTTTCCCGGGGGCAATTCTTTCCGCAGATCCTTTATTATTTGGACTTTTGGAATGCTGGGGCCCGCGAATTTTGCTTTCGTGTTCCGTTCTTGTGGTATGTACACCTCGAATACCCTGTAATGCTTCAATATGTCTTCTGGAATAAAAACCCTAATCAGTTTTATGCATAAAACGATTCGTAACGTGACGGAAACTATTGCAATACTTACTAACTGTGTTTTTGGGTATTGAGTATTCTGCAGAAATCGCTTTAGCATTGTAATCGAGGGGTTCGTTCTGGTGTTTCGATATAAATTTCAGGGCATTGGCTAGAGTTATTTTACCCAAAGGAACATGATTCGGTTCCTTTACTCCATACAGAAACATACCTACAGTCTTCCTATCAGTCGGTAGAGGCCTGTCTGGGTTCGCCTCTGTTTTCGTCTCAACTACCGGCTACAAAAACATACCAATAAGATTCTACTTACGCTCTTAGTAAGTGTTAAAATTACATCGTGCGATGTTACGTAAACGTCCCTTAAATTTTTGTCAAGCTGCTCGTTTTTCTTCAGGCTTTCTTGATAGGCTTCAGGGTATTCTAAAAAATATATGTATTTTAAGGTTATGTTTAAATGATTTTAATGAAATACCTTTCATAAGTCGTTCAAAATCTAACTGATCCTTTTTATGCCTAGGGGCAGGCACTGGCTTGGGCTGCGATATAACCTTATGCGCTCTACTTTCTAAATTAAAGTTTTTGAATGGATTTGAAATCAAAGAAAGTGCTTTTCCCATTATGAGATTTTTGAGGTTATACCAGTCAAATCAAGCTATTTAACATTTCCCTTTTCTTATATAAATTTTCCAAGAGATATATTCGTTACAAAAGTGAGGCTGATAAAATTTATTTATCCACTAATCTATCTACTGGCTTTTTCTTACTATTTTCGTTATGTGCACAGTATAATTGATTAGTATACTGTGGTTATGTGTAATGCTAATGACTTTTCTGCTGTCGAATGTCAAGGGAAATCTGGGAACGTCTCTTTAAAAATAAAATAAAGAATGAGAAAGGAATACAGTAGTAACCTTTTTTGTTCTAAAAAAACACAAAATACTTTCTGCCAGTAGCGCAGAATTCACGCACATAATTAAGTAGTACTGCACGGAAAATTTACGGCAAAGCAGGGAAAAAATATTTCTTGATTATGACTCAGATCCCTTTTACATCAAAATTGTATTTAAACACTGCGATTGATTCCATTTTCATACAATTCTTGCAATTAAAAGAGTTGCTGCGATATCTATAATCTACGCCTATGGTTTTAAATGTTGCCTGTTTTCTGGTATGCAGGCGACTATTACCACAGCAAAGACATAAATTATCACTAATTTGAGGCGCTCGAAAAATATTTTTTTATACATTTCACGTTCCAAAGTAATAAATATTTCAGACGAAATGGGAAACTAGACTTATAACCGGTAATATTCCTTTAGATTCCAATACGTATAAGGCCGTTTTATGCAAATTTGAAGTTAGCAAATTCGAGCTTTTATTTTTCCGATGTTGGCAGATTCTGGAATTTGACACTGTGTAAAATGGCTGACAACTAAACCCCTTAGAATTTTCTTTGTTTTCATTGCAGTTTTTCGTTCTTTTAGTGCGAGACTACTTTAAATAACACGTTAATTTTAATTCCGCAATAAAAAGAATCATTGAAAAGTGAAAATATTAATCTAGTTGTGACCGAACTGTGATAAGTGTTGAAAGTGTTATTAATTTCCACCATATAGAATGAGATAGATTGACACTAAAATCTGACAATATATTATAGCAGGTTCTAAATAATTTTTGCATATCGAAGAGGTAATTGTTGTTATTTATTGCATGCAAATACATTTACTAATTAAGGTATACTTATTGTTGCAAGTTATATACCCATCTTGCATACAACATGCAATGCTAAGGAATGTTGAAATGGACATTCATTGCAATTTAGAACATAGTAAAATCGCCTGGAGCATCAGTGTCTAGGTACATGTCAGTTCTTTTCTTTTTTGTATACATCTAAATTAAACTCCTAATTTTGTGAAATTGATGTGGTATATATTAACATTGAGTATGGCAACTGAGACATTGCTATTCGCATCATGCAAGTGTTTTTTATTTTATCGAAATTTGATTCAAACCAATTTAGGAAAATAAAGCAAATTTGATGATCACCGTGACTAAGTTTCTCTGCTGGTTTTTTACGGTGCTAGAAACTTTTTTTTTAAATAAGTTAATATATTCTTATAAGAGAATTAAAATCATTTGTCCAGTAATGTCTTTAATAATTAAGTATGTATTTCAAATATTTAAGTAATTAACATAACTACATAAATCTTCAAGGTCTATAACATCGTTGATAATGGAATATTTATTTTAAACGATTTTATTTCTGGAGTTGACATTTTTTAAACATATTTGTAAATGTGTTATTTTATTCATAATGAAATGGATACGGGATAAAATAATATTTAGAGGGGCATTATTCAAATAAATTTGGAATCTTTATTTTTCTCAGATACATAAAATACTCACCATAACCTTTTAAGGAATGTCCAATATAAATGACCGTTAATTTGAGCTAGAGGTAAATAATGAGAGAAAGACGGGTTTCATTTTATTTAATTTATTAATATTAAGGCATGTTACATAACGATCAAAATGAACCAAAAAAATTAAAATAGCTTAAACTTATTTAGTATGTAACTAAAAATATATACTTACATACATAGAATTTAATTTTTTTTTACGCTAATATCTTTATCTTTTATGGGCTTCTGAAATATTTGAAATAGTTAAAAATTAGTCTTAAGTTTCAGTTTTTGATTTGATTATGATTTCATCAATACAGTGGAAAATATAGACATTTGAATATTCAGTTATTGTTAAAAAATTTGCCTCTTGTAAAATTTTTTTATTTGTTAATTAAATTATTACTAATGCATTTTCGATTCAAACTTGAAATAATTACCATCATTTCAAAAGTAATTTATTCAATAACAGAAACATAATAACTTGTTCAATATGACCACAGGTTCTGTAATATTTAAATTAATTTCAAACAAAAACTGAATATAATCACGACATCAATTACTCTTTCGGACAGTGAGGAAAGATATCAATTTCACTTTCAGCTTCCACCTTCCGTTCTACCAAGGGGACCCGCCAAGCTGTTTCATTCATGTACTCGCACTGCTCAGTAATGCCCCCTCCCCGTCCCGCCGATAATGTGACTCACTAGCTTCCGATAGGGCCCAGTATGGGCCAGGAGCCTCGGTGTCAGCTCAGCATGAATCCGAACGCGCCAGCCCGCTCGCCGGGCTACCACCAGAAGGCCATGGAGGAGATCCAGAACTCGCTGCGACCGTTCGCTAAGAGTGGCAGCGAGGCGATGAGCTCCAGCGCGGCCAGCACCATCTCGAATTTCTCCGCCACCAGCGGGGTCAGCTCGTTGAGTTCCACGTCCGGGGGGAACGGCAACGAGAGGCAGCTGGTCAACATGGGATATTCGGAGGTGAGGCTTTCGTTGATATTGTTATATTTTCGTTCCAGGGTTCGTGTTTGCTGATTTTCTAACCAAAGAATTGTCTCTATTCATTATTTGTTTCATTCTTTATAATAATCATAGTAATAGACTTGTAATTCTTTTTTGAATATTTAAAATAAAATCAAGTGTCACAGTTGCAGAATGGAACTAAAATTGGTACTATTAAATATCAAATGTCACTAAAAATTACCCAAATCAAACAGTAAATTAGAACCAGTTCATTTGTTTCGAATTTCTTGGCCGACTTATTCATGTCAGAAAATTTTGCAGAATTTAATTGTTCTGGCTGTTTTTTTCATGATACGGCTGCAATTTTAAGCTGCCAACTTTTAAAATAAAACTTAATCATGACGACAAACCTACCTAATTTATTCTTTAACTATTTGAATTAAAAACAGTGGAAAAATTGTAGAATAAAAGTTGATATTATTTAACGAATATGATATTAAAGAGAGAGTACCTATTTAAAAAATGAATTAATGTTATAATTACTATAGAAAATTGTCAAGGTCCCTATGAATTTAAAGCAGTGGTGTCTGTGGAATATCCAAAACAGTACAAATGTGCATTGCGAAGGTTTCCAGCTTGCAAATCCTGTATTAAGTTACTTTTATGTAGACTCCGAATAAAATATACATAAAATTATCATTTGTAGATAAACATAACACTAATTGCAGGAATTTGGTGTGGTGTTAAGTGCTGTTTAATGTCCAGCACAAAGGAATATCTGATTGATGATTCATCCCTTAACCCATATGCAATTTCTAATGGCCTCGCATCAAATTTTACCAAGATTGTTCGTCTTACATTACTGTTCTTTTTTTATGTGATAAATTGCCTTTGACAACACATAGCCAGTCATCAAGGGCCTATATTTTTTTCTGGGGTGGGCCGTGCACACCCCTGCTCCCCTCTAGCTATGCCCATGCATGTTTGATTTACTATTTAAAAAAATGTAAAAAGGACAAATCATGATTAATTTTAAGTTATTGTTTCATAATCTTAAATCTTCTCTATTTATTCAAGTATTTCCCCATCTGTGAATGATTTTGAAATTAATTAAATCAAGTATTGACCGGAAGGTTCAATCAGGGGTGGTTTTTTGTGGTATTATTTTTGACCAACCGTAAATCTCACAATAGAAAGTCAAATAAAAAAAATTAACATATTTTCTTCTCTTTTATATTGGATTAGATTAGGTTCCCTTAAGTTTAGGTTAAATTAGGTTATTTTACAGGTTAGATTATATTAAGTATGTACTTATTTTTTAAATTTTTTCCCATCTTTACTTTTTTTTTTTATGTTTATACGACTCCTTTAATGAGATATTGGAAATTTTGTTATTTTTAACTGCCCTAAAGTGTTATAGACCCAAATTTAAACTGTCGATACTGATCGAATAAAAAAGATATTGTTTGCCGTCTTCCCCAGGAATCCTCCCTTAGGGCTCTTCAGCTAGCCAACGGACGGCTAGACATAGCCCTCGACTATCTCGGAAAGCAGCCCATGGACGGCAATATAAAAAACAGCGGTTACACCAAACTAATCCGGAAACCAAGCATCGAACGGGAACTCGGTCTACCGAGGGGGAGTCCCGCACTGGACAGCGGAGCGGGAAGCTCCAGATCCGACAGTCCCCGTCTCGCCGACATCCATTCTACCATCAGCCGTTATTCTCCCAGTTTCAACGAGCCCCCACCTCCGCCCCCGCCAAGAAATACCCCTCCTCCGCCGCCACCGCACGGCGCTGCGTATCAACCCGTTCCCAGTAACGTGCAGCAGATGTTCAAGAGGATGTCTCCGGCGCCCGTCGTCCCCGCTAGGACCCCGGCAGCGGTGTCGTCCTACAACTCGCCCGCTCTGCAGCAAAGGGGTACAAGTCCCGTGAGTAGCGTGTCGTCGTCGTCCGGGAGACAGCCCATGGTGGTGCAGAACGGCCCGCAAGTGCAACAGCAGCTGTCGCAGCAGATGCAGGCGTTGAGTTTGTATCAGAGCAGCACGGCTTCCACTTCCGAGCCTCCGCCCCCTTACCCGTTGATTTCCCCGAGTCCTTCCGGCGGGGCTCCGCCTCCTCCCTCGTATTCGGCTTCCATGCAGAACCGTCAGAGTCCCACTCAGGACTTCAGGAAGAGCCCCTCCTCGGGGATATATTCGGGATCTACTTCGGCGGGATCGCCCAGTCCGATTCCCGTATCAAACACGACGCCCACCGCCATGGCTAGACCGACGCCGTTGCAGGCTTGGGGTGCGAGACAAACCATTTCCCAGCCGCCGATCATCATGCAGTCTGTCAAGAGCACGCAGGTGCAGAAGCCGGTGTTGCAGACGGCCATAGCGCCCACCGCTCCGCAGATACCTTCGCCTACGAGTACGACTCCGCCTGCGACGTCCGCACCTCCGCCGAGTTACACCGTGTCGATTCAACAGAAAGGTAAGGAATGTGACATTAGTATCTCGTTTTTATATTTGTTTTTGTGTAATTCCGTTAAATTTCTTGAAATTTTTAGCCATTGATTACTTTTTTCTAACAATTTCTGCCCCAAAATAGGGAAAGCCTTCGGAAAAACTTAAAAAAAAATTGTTTAAGCATTTCTTGAAGATTCTTCAACTTTTTTTCCTTTCAAGGATATAAAAAACAATTAGCATTATTCAAATTTGTGATTTTCCATATTTTTATGAAAAATCTACTGTAAAAAATACAAAATTGTCCAAAATTGGTATATTCGAACACAAATAATAGAAACGTGGAACCGGCCTTAAGAAAACGATTCCGTCATTCATACGACTCGTAGCGCTGATGAAACAAATTAAAATGTGCAAAATTGTAACGTTTTCTATAATTTCATGAAAATTCATCGAACAAAAATAACATGCTCTCTACCACACAGGTTACACTAACGGTTCGAAGCCGGCAGCGCCCCTTCCCGTGGGGGTGTCGCCTAACCCGTCCGGCAATGTGCCGCCCGTGACGGTACCCACCACAGAACCCCCTAGCTACGCGAGCACCATGCAGGCCAAAGCGAAGGCGCAGCGGGGCATCTCGCATCCCCCCTTGCCCCCGCCTCCTTATTCCGACGAGGGCCACGCCCAAGTTTACACCGTGGAGAGCTCCATGTCCCCCAGGGCCAGCCCCCACGTTCACCCTCCGTTGCAGAGGAAATACTCGCCGGTCGTCAACTCCGAGTGCAGGTCCGACAGCCCCCAGTCGACTAGTTCGGGGGAGAGCAGGAACCAGTATTGCGATAATGGGGCACCGCCGCTTCCGCCAACCGGTACGTGTCCTTGTTTTAAACGGAACGCCCTATGTATCTGTTTTAACGTTGCAGCATCGTCGTCGGTCAAGAGCAACAGCGCTAACAACAACATGATAAACGGCAACGGCGACAACAAGAACAACGACAGCCCTCCCCAGTTACCCCCGTACACCAAAATCAAGCACCAGTCGCCGATACCGGAGCGCAAGAAGATCAGCAAGGAGAAGGAGGAGGAAAGGAGGGACGGCAAGGTGAAGAACTACTCACCGCAGGCGTTCAAGTTCTTCATGGAGCAGCACATCGAGAACGTGATCAAGTCGTACAGACAGCGCATGTTCAGACGCATGCAGCTGGAGAAGGAGATGAACAAGATAGGGCTGAGCCCGGAGGCGCAGAACCAGATGCGGAAGATGCTGTCGCAGAAGGAGTCGAACTACATCCGGCTGAAACGGGCCAAGATGGACAAGAGCATGTTCGTGCGGATCAAGCCGATAGGGGTGGGCGCCTTCGGGGAGGTCACCCTGGTCAGGAAGATTGACACGAATCATTTGTACGCGATGAAGACGCTGAGGAAGGCCGACGTCCTGAAACGGAACCAGGTGGCGCACGTGAAGGCCGAGAGGGACATCTTGGCGGAGGCCGACAACGAGTGGGTCGTCAAGTTGTATTATTCGTTTCAGGACAGCGACATACTTTATTTCGTTATGGATTACATCCCGGGTGGGGACCTCATGTCGCTGCTCATCAAGCTGGGGATATTCGAGGAGAGGCTAGCGAGGTAAGTTCAGAATGTTGCAATTTGGAATGTCCGAAATTTGAATTTCTTTTATACAGTTTTAGGGTAGTTCTAAATTGCCGCCAATGAAGAATCGCTATAGACTTGCACACGAGCTATTGGCAAAAAAATTAAAATCTTATAGTTTCGAAACATTTTTTAAAATAAGTATTTCTTAGTTTTTTTCTCAAAGCACTGTGTTTAGTTCGTGATTGTTAATATCACTGACCTCTAGCCCAGTAAATGAAAAAAAAATTGTTTCAGATTGACACTTGATTTAATCGTTAGTTTAGGCAAAAAGAAATAATATTTCCCGAAAAGTATCGGTTTAAAACAACAAGATCATTGTTTAAACAATGATTATAATGTAAAAATTACCAAAAATGGCTGTAGCCATGTAGTTAGCTGTATTAAAAAGCGCTCTCCAACAGGAGTTTTTGCTTTCGTTTATACTTGTAGGTTTTCAAAAAACCCTTCATTTGAAACCTGCTAAATTAAAATCCATTAACAATTTGTTTAAATAATTGTAAAAAATCGGCAAAATTTGAATTTGCTATAAATAGAAGAAAAGAGCATAAATCGTCTCTAAACTGCAGTAAAAAATGTATTTTATTACGCTTAAGAAACCCTGAAAATTTGATGAAAAAATATTTATTTGTTTACGAGTTTCTGCAATTGTTTATTAGAAACAGCATTTTTTCAATTGGGAAAACGCGGTTGTTAGCGTAACAATAAAGGGCCTTATGAGGGCTCATTTGTTTCGTCTTGACTTATATTTTCAAGATATGCAATTGGAAATTGTAATTTCATAGGCTAACCTCCTCAAAACGGCGTATAAACAAAGAGTGTAATTTGTTTATAAGGTTTTTCGTTAATAACTTTACGAAGAATGAATATTTTTTAAAGCCGCTTTGATATTCGTAATCCTGGTAATTTTTCACGAATTTAAAAGAAAAATTGTTCTAGGACCATTTTTAGCCGAGATCGCGTTTTTTTTTTAATAACTTGTTTATTTATAAACATTAAGACTTGAAATTTCGGGAATAAATCAATCAACCCTTAAACTTCATAATAACGGTTAAAGATATCGAAAAAAATGCATTTTATAGTAATTTTTAACCCTTTAAAAAACGTCCTCGAATACATTTTTACACCTGGAATGTGGTGGGGGAAATAAGACAGAAACGTTCCGAGACTTCAAATCTTAACTGCCCGAAAATTTTGCGATATCTCCGGTAATTGTGGACCAATTTTAACGTTTTTTTTTTAATCTGGGGTAGCGCATGAAAATAATAACAACTGCACGGTCCATTTTGCAATAATTAATTATTAATTTGTTATAAACTATTAATTTTGTAAAAAAAAATTTTTTTCGCATTTTTTCGAGAAATAATTTTTCACAATGGTACCAATAAACAATTTTCTTAAAAAACAATATTTTTATGTAAAAAAATTCAGGAAATGACATATTTTTTATGTATAAAGTTTATTTTAATGAGAATCGAGTTTTTGAATGTAATATGCATAATAGTATTATTTTTTAACATTAAATTACATATTATATTTTAAAACAGATCATTTCCTGAATTTTTTCACATAAAAATATTGTTTTTTGAGAAAATTGTTTATTGGTACCATTTTGAAAAATTATCTCTCGGAAAAATGCGAAAAAAACTACAAAATTAATAGTTTATAACAAATTAATAATTAATTAATGCAAAATGGACTGTGCAGATGTTATTATTTTCATGCGCTGCCCCAGATTAAAAAAAAATATGTTAAAATTGGTCCACAATTATCGGAGATATCGCAAAATTTTCGGGCAGTTAAGACTTGTAGTCTCGGAACGTTTCTGTCTTTATTTCCCTCACCTTATTCCAGGTGTAAAAATATATTCGAGGATGTTTTTTAAAGGGTTCAAAATTCTACAGGGTGTTCCTAAATAAGTGTCGCAACGGAAAACTGTAAATTCCTCTTGAAAAAAGAAACATTTTTTTCCTCTTCCATTTTTCTCTCCGGGCTTTCGTTTTCGAGATACACGGTGTCAAAACTTTAATATTTTTTTAGTTTTTCGCCAATATCTTAGGAACCGTTTGAACTACAGGACTGAGTTTTTGTATAGGCATTACCACTATTAATAGCTACTTTTTCGCACCCTTCTCGAATTCATTGCACGTGCCAGTGGTGGAGATTTTAAGGCATCGTAAGGGTTTTTCCCCCCTAAATTTTACGCCACTGGAAAATTTTGACTTTTGACAGCAAATTCTAAAACGCCCATGAATTTTACACAAAAGAAGTTCTCTTGGTTCATTGCTCTAAAGTCAACCGTTTTCAAGAAAAATGACTTTTTATGAACAAAAGCGAACATTTTGCTAACGTTTCGAACATTTTTTGCATTTTGCATTTTGACCATTTTGCAAGTGCAAGTAACTGAACAGAACATCCGGAGAACGAAATGCATCGTTTATGAAATCCATGTCAATACTATCGAAAAGTTGACCGATAGAGGTGAAGCCGCAGCGGCAGAAAGAAACATGATTAGAAGATGTAATGCGTGCATTCAAGCCAACGGACGTAATTTTGAACAGTTTCTGTAAATTTTACTCGCCAAATTGATAAAAAAAGTTAAAATCCTATCTGTTGTTAAATTTCGTTAAAATTGTTAATTATTACTACCTATTTTTTGAATTACAAAAGATTTTCGAAACATTAGCAAAATGTTTGCTTTTGTTCATAAAAAGTAATTTTTCTTGAAAACGGTTGACTTTAGAGCAATGGATCAAGAGAACTCTTATTGTGTAAAATTCATTTGCGCTTTAGAATTTGCTGTCAAAAGTCAAAAGTTTTTTCCGAATTACTAAATTTCTAGCGGTGACCTCTCCAATTCTTCCTACGAGACAACATAACCGATTCTGCTCGTCTTTTTTTTAGATTCTACATAGCAGAATTGACGTGTGCGGTCGAGAGCGTCCACAAGATGGGTTTCATCCACCGCGACATCAAGCCGGACAACATCCTCATAGACAAGGACGGGCACATCAAGCTGACGGACTTCGGCCTGTGCACGGGATTCCGCTGGACGCACAACTCCAAGTATTACCAACCGAACGGTGAGTAACCCCAACTAGTCGCGATCTAACCCGTTCCTTATTCCGTGACGCCCGCAGGAGACCACAATAGACAGGATTCTATGGATCCGATCGACGATTGGAACGAGGAGTGCAAGTGCAAGAGCCTGAAGCCGTTGGAGAGGCGACGGCGCAGGGAGCACAGGTGCCTCGCGCACTCCCTAGTCGGTACACCCAACTATATAGCGCCGGAAGTGCTGCAGAGGACTGGGTACACGCACGTCTGCGATTGGTGGAGCGTCGGCGTCATCCTGTACGAGATGCTCGTCGGCCAGCCGCCGTTCCTAGCCAACACGCCCGCAGAGACCCAGTATAAGGTAAGCGGAAGCGTTGCGTTACGTGCGGGGTGTCCGGGAACCGAGAATGAAAAATTTCGGATTGATTCTACTCGTAATTTAGACGCAGGGTGTTACCGATAATAAATACGTCGAATTTGAAACAAAATTGTCGGAACTGATGAAAAAGTCATAACAAAATATTATTTGAGTCGTTTGTTTGACATCTAGCGAACATTTAAGATCGGTCGTCAGGAGAACCACCGGACATATACCGATTTCAAGTTTTTGCTTGTGCATGTGCTGTAAAATTGTTTGTTTTATTGTAAAGTTATATTTTATGTCACGATATAATTTTTTAAACATGTTCGGTTTTTTAAACGAGTAGAACGGTCTAAATTTTCCCCCGACACCCCCGTAAAGGTCCGAATTTGAAACGATTCCCCCATTCAGGTGATCAACTGGGAGACGACCCTGCAGATCCCGAAGCAAGCGAACCTCTCGAAGGAGAGCACAGACTTGATCCTGAAATTGTGCTGTAGTGCCGACAAACGCTTGGGTAAAAACGCCAGTGAAGTGAAATCGCACCCGTTCTTCAAAGACATTGACTTCGAGAAGGGCCTGAGACGCCAGCCGGCCCCCCACAAGCCCCGCATCGAGTACCCCACCGACACCTCGAATTTCGATCCCATCGACCCGGACAAGCTGCGCAACTCGGCATCGCTCGACTCGAGCACGTCCGACGAGCTCCTGGACAACTCGAAGCTCTTCCACGGCTTCTTCGAGTTCACCTTCAGGAGGTTCTTCGACGACGGCGGCCTGGCCGCGTTCAACAAGATCAACCTGGACGACAACGAGAACCAGGGCGGTCCCGTCTACGTGTGACGTCGAGTCGGCGCCAGCGAGCAGGGGTTGGAACCCCGAAGCGTCTTTGATTTCGAACCGGGCGGACTTGCCAGATGTCGCGTCGTTTGATCAAAGCGAAGGTTTCTTAAGCGGCGGGGAAATTTGCGTTTTGTGTTCTTTTTTTTTGCTATTCCTACCTTTTGTGCGCCTCGTTCGAATGAGGGGCGGGCGGGGCGATCGTCGCTGACGTTGGTCCTGGGGGGGGGGGAACGAAATGGTTCCTTAAAAGTTGTTGTCGAAAAAAAAAGGAAACGACGAATTAAATTAAACGGAAACGCTTGATTATCGCAAACGTTTGCGCGTTATTTTTTTAAATCGACGACGCTGCGTATTTTCGAATGAAATTAATTTTTCTCTTTCCGGCAGTGTACGACGCTTGAAATTTTGAACAGGCGTTCGTCGTAATTCTTACTAAAAAAATTTATACTGGGTAAGTATAAGTTTTTTCGGGAATAGGAATATTTTTCAATTAATTCTCAAGCATTTCCAAGCGTTTCGATTCGGAGCGACAGCAAAGTATCATTTCATCGGAAAATATAAAAATTTACAGGGCGTTCGGTTGAAAAATGCCGCAAATGCAAATATTTCAATTGTTTTTTTCTTTTTTTTTTAAAACCACTGTTGCACTAACATTAACTTTTTGACGGTTGTGAAATTATCTAAAAATTATTTTCGCACATCTAATTTCCCAGGTAATACCGATAATCTAATTTTTTTTTGCAAAATGGCCGCCGTTATTGACGTTCGTCACTATGGTGATAAATTTTTTTTGTTTTTCGACCCAGCGAAAAAAAACGTAATATACGTTGACGTTTTTCATTCAACTGACTAAAAATTTTACTAACGGTTTAATATTTACGGTAAAATTTGCTTCTTCTACAGGGGGCTTCAAAAACGAGGTTCACAACGTCAAAAAATAACATGAATTTGTTTTCCATGTTCTACTGTCTTTTGTTTTCGAGATACCGCTGTCAAAAACGATTATTTAAAATCGAGCTTCGATTGTTTTACAATTTGCTACAACATTGTTGTAGTTTTCGACAAACTTATCGGTATCCCGTTAAAATGTCCCCTCGACCAACGTCTTTGCGGGAACGTCCGCACCCCTCATTCGTACGAGACGCGTCTTCTATATCGGGATCCGAAAATGCGGCGGGTCCACGTGTAAAAGTTTTGATGTAACCAAAGTCTATTCTAGCTGCCTTATAATTAAACGAAATGCCTTTTTCAGCTCAAATTTTTTATAGATTGGTACGACGTAGGGAAAATTTTTTATATAGTACAATTTTAATAAAATTATCTAATAACGATAGGTAGAAGAGATCAGTTAAGACACTGTGTATATTTTATAAATTATTCAAAGAAAAAAAAAATGACAAATGGTGCTACTTCTATATATTTTAAAAATGTGATATATAAATGCCCCTCAGAAGCCTTAACGTGGAGTTCCGCGAGGCCAAATCGGTTAAATTTAAATTTTCTAGTCAGTTCGGCGAAATGTTGCGATGTCGTCACACGATTTTTTTTGTAGGACTGTGCTGACGACGTTTCAGGCAGGGAATCTGGTGTTCTTCGAAATTCTCCAAGGTTTTCACTTCCGTTGCGTTTTTATTAAAAAAAATTACGTCGTGTAGGGTTTTCGAGGGGTCTAATTGTATTGAACAATTATAAATTATTGCTATTTGTGTATATGTAAATATTTTTAACAACGAAAAATTGTACCGTTATCAGTGGATAGTCTTGAAACTGTGTCCGGAAGGAAATTATTTTTATATAATTCTTGGAATTAGGAAGTTGGATGTATGTACGCACTGCCTCACAATCATTTGAAGAAGGTTTTCTTTTTGTATTTCGAACGGTAACTGAGAATATTATCGACTAGTTTTAAATTAACTTATTTTTCAAAAAAAAATAAATAAATAAAGCTGTGTTACAACTATAATTTTAGTTTTTTTGCTCATAAATGAAATAATATGCTTAAAAACATTAAATTAAGATATTTATTACTATTTTCCAATACGTCTCTAATTTGTAACACTGTCTAGCCCGTAAGTATGAATTATTTTTTAGAATATAATTTTTCTAGTCTATCGATTTTTTTATTATCTAAATATTCATTTTAATGTTGTTTAATCATGACATTGTTCCTTAATTTTGCAGAATAGTTTTAAAAATTGTGTACACTTAGGCATCGTTCATGTTTTAAACGATTTGTAACTTCGAAAGTGCCTCTATTTTAGATTGCAAAAGTGTAAATGTGTGTAAATATATATTTTTGAAACAACTGACCTTTCTGTTACGCGACGTCCACAAACAATTCAATAAAGAAATTTTAGTCGTTTATAATCTACATATACTCCCTAAATTTTGATGTTTTTAGGCTGACAATAACTTTTTCTATTACAAATAATCAGATTTCCTTCTCTCTTTATTATCTTTTAAAAATACAAAACTATATTTTTAACAGTTCAATAATTTATATGTCACTTCTTTTATTTATTTTCAACAACCTCCTAGCAACATCTATCTTCTTTTTTCTGTTCTCAACAATAACAACTTGACTGCGTCAATTACTCTAACTTCCAAATCTGGTCAACAATGGATTCACGCTTTGTTAAAAATCTCTTCATAAAAAGCAACTGTCATATTCAGTGGTTTCAAATGTCCAATGTAACCGGATTTTGAATTATGGAAAAGGTGGATGTACACGACTTTATACAGAATCACCGCTAATCGATTTTAAAATTTAACACTCGCCCCTAATAAATATTCTACGTACTTATAAACGCCGATCTATTTTATATTCAAATGCGATCCGACTCGCGCTTCTGCATGGAAAAATTATCGCCTCCCACCTCTCCATTCGTTGTGGTGGCAGGCCCGAGAATTGACAAGTGACGCATGCGTAAAGTAAACAAACTTTGACAGTTCTCACCGAGGGGCGTTCATAATTCAACAAGAAAATAAGTTGACGCCATTTTGTCGGTTTATAAATCAAAAGGATATCCATTTTTATTAGGAATCATCGCGTTTCCCTTAGAAATTACGTGGATAGTAATGAGTCTGTGATAGAGCCAGTGTATTAATCAGGACGATATTTTTGTTGTGATATGCACTAATATTGTTCTTTGTGTTATTATTTTGAGATTTTGGGGAGGGTAGTAGGAGCAACTAATAAGTGATAAAGATGAGTACAAAGGATGATGAGTACGATTATTTGTTTAAAGGTAAGCCGTTTATTAGTGAATTAAGGACGTTTATTTCTTTTACGTGTTACCGTTTGACGTATAATGACAAGTCAGCAATGTCAGAGGTCAAGTTGTTTTGTCCACTGCAAGAAACGTCATAATCAATTCCAATTGTTCTTATTAATTTCCCATTTCAACGGAATCGATACTTTTTTGGCAAGGTCTGATTTGGCAGGGTACGTCGATAACGAAAAAAAATCGTTAATCTCGGTGTTTGAAGTGATTCACACATGCTAATTGATGTGTGTAGAGAAAGGACTTTCTAAAATTAAAGTGATATTTCTTGTTGCAGTTGTCCTAATCGGCGACTCTGGAGTAGGAAAAAGTAACTTATTGTCGAGATTTACTAGGAATGAATTCAATTTGGAATCAAAGTCAACAATAGGTGTCGAATTTGCTACAAGAAGTATACAGGTAGTGTAACCGTTTTTATCAGTAAAAGGAGGAGTCATACCTGTTTACTTTTCGCGTATGACTTTGGTAATAGCTATTCACAAGGATATTTACAATGATTTGACATTTAAATGGTATAAATAGTAGTTTTGATAAAAGTAGTTTTTGTGGCATTCTTCAAGGAAAAGAGAAATTTAAAATTATAAAGTTGCATGTCAAAGAACAATAGGAATTTTTTTTTTTTTATAATTAATGAAGGTCAGTAATTATTATTGTGTAACATATTTTAAAATTAAAGGTCAGTTTATCTATTTAATCATAAGTTCGAATAATTTTTAAGGAAAATGCATACTTATTAACTATTAAATTTTGCGAACTGATTTTATTTTTATATAATAAGAGAGATCATGGTCAATTAGCAGTTCCTATTTACAAATTTGCATTGTATAATTTAGTAAATAATAATATTTTGTCGCATATGATTGAAAGGTAATATTATTTTCATATTTCATGTCTAATAAAAATGTAGTAAATTATAATATCATCAGCAAACAAGTTATATTGCTCAGGGCAACATCCTTATCATCAATTTATGATTGTCATTTCTAGATATATAACGAATAATTCATAATCATAATTACTAAGTACACTCGGATTAGACTTGCTTCATTATCTCAAATTATGCACCGTTAACTAACATATCTAATTTAATTTCGTAGGACGTCTCGCGATATGAATTTCCATTTCAGTACAAATTGTAAAGTGATACCAAGCTTTAAAGATAACAGCTTCAGTAGAAATAGTTTAGGCAAACACAACATAAATATTTTAGTGGTTTTTTTATGTCTCGGCTACTGTTGAGTGATATACGATTCAAGGAACTTGTGTCGGCATTGAAAGAAATCAGCTTATCACTAGATGTTATTTTATTTTTGAAATTATCGAATTCTTGTGGTTTCCCACACGTCTCGATATAAAACATGATAAATGGGACTGAAATCTAAATTTAATTTGTACTCGAAAAATAAACGCTTGCTAAGCAGTTATTCGTCGCTATTAATTTTATTTAGAAGCATTTCGCAATAATATCAGGAATTTCAACAGACGAGAAATAAAGATGAGTCGTATTCTCTTAGTATATGTCGATGAACTTAAGTAAGTTACGTAATAAGTAGAAGTAATCCGTTCTAAGTTAACGCATATTAAATTACAACCGTAATCATTTCTGGTTACATCCCATTTTAGAAGAACATAGGCCAGAAAAATGTGTTTACATGAAAGTAAACAATTTTATAAATTTTCCATATAACGTGTTTTACATGTAACTCTTATCGATTATGTCTTGTTAGACTGCGACAAAAGAGAGAATTATGTGATGTACTCTTTAAATGATAATTGTAGAAAGTAACTAAAATTGGTACTAATAAATGCCAAAAAAAAGTCCAAAATTAACAGTAACAAATAATTATTCAAAATATAATTTAAAGATGAAATGTTTAAGTAATTATTAAAAAAAAGTATACCTATATGTTCACATTCTCAAATAATGCAGTCATTCAGAGAAACATCCTGTATTCTTTCTTTTACTTTTAACAAAATTTAATCATGTAAAAAACTAGCTGCTACAAAGCGATATTTTGGTTTCCAAAACTATGATTTATAGGCCACCCAATAGAGATTTTTTGCTTAGTAAATGAAAACCCAAGTGATTTTCCAAAGCAAAGTCGTGAAAATTTTTTTTTAACAATACAAAAATACATTTTTTTGTTTTTTTTTTATAAAATCTCGAAAAATGTTGGAATTGTCTTACTCTCAATGGGACTTTTGTAGAGATAAAAAAGTCTATAAAATGGTTTTCTGTGCGACCCGATCAGTTCATTTTTTACAGAGAAAATCCGGAAAAACATCTAAAATAGACCTTTTTTCAAAAATCCGTCAAATTAGTAGTTGGAAAAACAATCTTGCGGTTGACAGATAATAAATAATATGTAGTTTAATCGTGCTCAAGATGATTTCTGTCCGATGCACAGTTTTTGCACAATAATTGCATTATAAACAAATTAGGGTATTTTTTTGCATGGGGTGACGATTTATCAAAAATGGCCCGATTTAAATTCTGAAAACGGCATCTGAAAGTAGACGACAAAATCTCCCATTTCTATATCTCGGATTTTCGTCTGGATGATGGGAAATACGCTAAAAATGCCCTTGAAAGTCGCCCGAAACGATCGAAAGTACGCTCGAGCCAGAGTCCTCCGCTCGCTGCTTCTCCCACTACCGCTACCCGACACTTACGAGCCTATTTTCGATCCTTTCGGGCAACAATACTCCTAAGGATTCGGAAAAAATGCCTCCTAGTCGCTAACTAAATACTTTAAAACGAACCAGGTCGATGGCAAGACAATAAAGGCACAAATATGGGACACCGCCGGCCAGGAGCGGTACCGTGCCATCACAGCGGCCTACTACAGGGGCGCCGTGGGCGCCCTGCTGGTCTACGACATCGCCAAGCACCTCACCTACGAGAACGTGGAGCGCTGGCTACGCGAGCTGCGGGACCACGCCGACCAGAACATCGTCATCATGCTGGTGGGCAACAAGTCGGATCTGAGGCATCTACGGGCCGTCCTCACGGAGGAGGCGAAGGCCTTCGCCGAACGGAACGGCCTGTCCTTCATTGAAACCTCGGCCTTGGATTCCACAAACGTCGATATGGCTTTCCAGAATATACTCACAGGTAACGTAAAAAATTTTGAAATTGACACGTGGAGGTGTTGGGTTTTATTTTGGGCGTCCTTTGCAGAGATCTACAGAATCGTCTCTCAGAAACAGATCAGGGACCCGCCAGAGGGCGACACCATCCGACCACAGAACGTAGAACCAATAGATGTTAAGCCGACGATGAATTCGGATGGGGTGCGCAAACAGTGCTGTCAGTAATGGTCTTATCAAAATAATGCATGTTCCACTAAACACAGGTAACGAGATGTTCCCGTTATTTAGAAGTAATTGGAAATTCCTACGTAATTTTGATAAAAAAGTGGAAAGTTGGGTTGGTCGGGAAAAGTATAGTTCTTTTACTTTAATGATTTTTGATTAAATTTGTGATCATAATTTTTTTTTTATAATGTACTCTAAACATTTCCCGTGTAATGTTAGCAAAATTCAAACGTTAACGTTTTGAACCATTTACAAAAATAGTTTTACTCATTTCTAGATTAACGAGTTTACATTTTTCAACGTTTTCTCTCTAATTTTGATTCAAAGAAAAAACTTCCATTTTATTTGAAAAATGAGTAATTTTCATATTTTTTACTGAAAATAAATTACTCGCAGTGGAATAAATTGAAAACTATTCATTTCTTTTAAAAAATTTGACATTTTATCGGATTGGGTTACAGGAATACTTTTTTTTTCAGATTTCAGCAGGTAGCGCCGCCTTGTCCCACCCACCGTGGCTACTTGTTTTTTATGTTAATTTATAAAAGTATATAAATCTGAGTGTCCTATAATGCTAAAAAAAACGTATTGTGACATAGCGGAAATGCCCACTCTGTTTGCTGCGCACTTTGTAGGCTGTCGTTTACGTTTTATACCTTTCTTTTCTCCCTTGGAACTTTTTCTATAATATATATAGTAGGTATTATATAAGTAATGAATTGTTTATTTATCAATATGAAAGTTTTGTGCTTTGAAAAGAGGCACTTGTTCTATATATATTCTTATTAGTACGTGATTATAAAATTCTGGTGCATATTTGTCGTTGGTTTCATACAAATTGTCGTAAGACGTTACTTGAACATTTCGGTCGTTTCTGTTGAGTACTATTAAAAATACTAAAAAAAAGTGTAAATGTGCTACAGTTAAATATTCATTACATCTTAACGATACTATAAATATAAATTACTGTCTTGACTGTTAGAAATTGTTTACGAGAGGTCGTTTCACGCCGCTTTATTCGGTTAACGCGGTGCGGGACGATCTTTTGCCATCGTGATGCCTTTAGTTGATTTATTTCGAAATTGTAGTCAGGATTACAGAACTTGTAGATATATACTTCTGTTATATTCTGTAGTATATTATTATGCTAGACATAACGGTTATTTTATTTGGACACACTGAACAAATGATATAATTGTTGTAAAATGTAATATAAGCTTCATTATCAAAATTTATTATAAATTTAATTTTTAAATAAAATTTATGTAACTCAGCCCAGCCAGTTTTATTTATCGTAAAATACCCGATTCTCCATAATTTGTTGTGAAAGTAACTTCAATTCATTTGATCATACCGTGTGTGGCACTCTTTATATTACTCGTGCCTACTGGTACATTTGAACTACTGACTAGCAGAATTAATTATACAGGAATATTTCAATCAACGTTGTGAAGTTATTACAATTGGCTCTGCTAAAGAATTCTTTCCCGTTTTAGTGCAGTTTCTAAGCGACAGATGACGGCATAAAAATTTGGAACTAATTAATTTAATGCAGCTTGATTGGTCAATTGACACAAGTGACCATTCCATGTACTTCTAACTTCACACTTGACAAGCCACCTAACCTCAAAGTTGTCGTGTGCTGTTTGTTTATAGAGGTTATCCGAAAATTCCATATTAACTATGTCCCCGGTCTTATAAATCAGGATGCCGCAAGGTAGCAAAATATTTCTACCCTGCAGGGGCTTAGGATACGTCAGCAACCACATACCCTTGCAAGTAAGGTACATAAAGAGTCGCAAGGAAAACCTCATAGTAACATGCGTGGGGAAATCGTTTCACACCTACGGCATATCGCACTTCGGGCTGCTCAGCGTGAGCGGCTTGCACCCCGGCGACATCGGCTGCATGACCTCCGATGCCTACCACGTTTACACCGCTTGTGAAAACGTGATCTACGCTTGGCGTAGGGGTACAGAACTTAAACACGTCTATCGGGGACACAGGAAGAAGGTTCACCTCATGATACCGTTCGGGGCTCACCTGATATCTGTCGATGAGGGCAGTAGTGTGAAAGTGTGGGACATAAAAGCCGAAGAAGTTTATTTCGAGTTAACTTTTGGCGCTACAAATTTTAATATAAGCGCGTTGTTACACCCCAGTACCTACATAAATAAAATACTGTTTGCTAGTGATAAAGGTGAGATGCAGTTGTGGAATATCAACACCGCAAAGTTAATTTACACGTTTAAAAGTTGGAAGGCACGGGTTACTTGTTTGGAACAGGCACCAGCGATAGATGTCGTGGCAGTGGGTTTGAGTACCGGAAGGATTATTTTACATAACCTTAAGTATGACGAGACTGTTATGGAGTTTATTCAGGACTGGGGTTTGGTGACTTCGATTTCCTTCAGGTCCGACGAACACCCGATTATGGCTACAGGTAGTGTTGCGGGTCACGTCGTCTTTTGGGACCTGGAAGAAAGGAGAGTGGCTAGTCAGTTACTTGCCGCTCACGATGACGCCGTTACCGGGATGGTGTGCCTTCCTAGTGAACCGCTTGTGTTAACTTCGTCCCCCGACAATACTTTAAAGTTGTGGATTTTCGATATGACAGATGGAGGAGCTAGACTGTTACGAATCAGGGAAGGTAAGCGTTACTTTTAAGTGTTTATACACTATAATTTCTTTGGTAACTCGCAGGACACTCAGCTGCACCTACCTTTATACGTTTTCACGGCGCAAACGGGCATAATATACTTAGCTGCGCTGGGGATTCCACATTAAGGATATTCAACACCCAAACGGAGCAGTTCAACAAGAGCTTGGGGAAGGCCTCTTACAACAGAAAAGTCAGTAAAAAGAGAGGAAGAGCTGTAGAGGACCCCTTGAAAATGCCCCCTATCGTTCAGTTCACTTCGGAAACGACCCGTGAAAAGGAGTGGGATAATGTCGCCGCCATCCACCAAGGGCTGGCGATGGCCACGACTTGGTCATACGATAAAGTTAAAATGGGAGATTTGAAGTTGTTGCCGGAACGCTTCCAACGGAAGAATAAAGATGTGAATTTGGAAGTGTCGGCAACTTGTTTGTGCTTAACGCATTGCGGGAATTTCGTTATCGTCGGCTATAGCACAGGACATATAGATAGGTAAGTGCTAAACATCTTTAAATTGTTTGCACGTTTTTACGAAATTTTAATTTTTTAGGTTCAACATGCAGTCTGGTTTGTGGAGGGACAGTTACGGTAATCCCAAAGGACACGAGTGTCCAATACGAGGATTGGCCACGGATACTCTTAATCAAATAACGATAAGCGGGGGCAGCGATAGCAAAATAAAATTTTGGAAGTTTAAAAATAAAGGTAAGTGTAACAGTACGGTACAAAAATAATCGTTATTTAATTTGATCGGATTGATTGTTTGGTGTGGTCATTATTTTAATTTTTTTTTCTCAGGGACGAGTCCTTTGACCGTCGTAACGCTCGAAGAGCCGATAAACTTCTTCCGCACCCATCGAGAGAGCTCCATGCTAGCCGTAGCCTTGGAAGACTTCAGCGTGAACATCATCGACATCGAAACACGTCGTCTTGTCCGAAAATTCCTCGGACACACAGCCCAGCTCACCGACGCGACTTTCAGTCCCGATTCCCGTTGGCTGACGACCGCCTCCATGGATTGCTCCGTAAGAACTTGGGACGTGCCGTCAGGACAACTCGTGGACCAATTCGCGACAGACGCGGCTTGTATATCCCTCGATATGTCCCCCACGGGCGAAGCCTTAGCCACCGCTCACGTCGACTACCTGGGCATGTTCTTGTGGACAAACAGAACCCTTTACAGTAAAATAACTCTCAAGGGTCTGACGCCTAGTGACGACCCGCCGCTGATTACGTTACCGGAATGCCAGGAGGAACCTAAAGAAGAAGAAGAGGAAACGGGGGAGGTGGAAGAGGAGTTCGTTTCACCCGAACAAATCGGTAACGATTTGGTTACTTTGTCGGGTTTGTCGACATCCCGCTGGCAGAATTTGCTTAATCTGGACGTGATTAAGAGGAAGAACAAGCCGAAATCGCCCCCGAAAGCCCCCAAAGCCGCTCCGTTTTTCCTACCGACGGTTGCGTCGTTGAATAATATCCAGTTCGACTTAAACGCTCAAACCGAGGAGGGTAGCAAGCTGGTAAAGCCTCTCTCGTTTGTAAACTTAACGGAATTTGGGAGGATTCTGGATGAAACTAAGGAAACCGATAACTTTCTGCCGGTAATCGAGAAATTAAAGTCCTTGGGACCTTCCATGATCGACTTTGAACTGAAATCTCTTGCGCCGGAAGGAGGCGGTTCTGTTGAAGTAATGCTGCAGTTTTTAAAATGCGTGGAGTTCATGTTGAAGTCTAATAAGGATTTCGAGTTGGCGGAGGCATATTTGGGCGTGTTTCTGAAGGCTCACGGGACCGTTATAGCCCAGGAAGAGGGCTTGCGGAGCTACTTACCGAACGTGGGTAGTTGCCACAGCGTCGCTTGGAATAGACTGCAGGAAAAGTTGTTGTACAGCATGTGCGTGGTGCAAAGCTTAAAAACCACGTAATTTGTTGAAATATTTTGTATTGAATTAAAAAAGTTAATTTTTGATGGTCTTTTATTTCCCAATCCTTAGTTTGCTCTAAACTAGAAAAGTGTGTATTGTTCGCAATAGCTGAAATCTCCCACTGCCCGATTTTTTTCTCCGAAATACATTTAGAGAGTTCTTCTTCGAACGGTGAGTAAAGCAAATTAACGGGAACGAGTTGTGAGTAAAGTATGTCACCCACAACGCGAAATAAGTGTTGGGCAAACACAAAAAAACAAAAACACAAAGAAATCTAAAAATAGAGAAGCAAGAGCTAAAAATACAAACATTATTTGTTTTTACATTTTATATTTCATTTTATGCATGCACATGCATTCGTTTGACATCCTTTCAAGCAACTACATCGAACAAATCCTTAGAATTTACGAGAACCACAAACATGAAAATTCACTATTAAATGTATCTTACTACTAGCGTCTCGTTAAAACTAATAACAATAACAAGCAGTCCATGTGCAACGCGTTCGGGGTAACAAACAATAGCCAGAATGCGATGTGGTCAAAAGTTACTCACTGTTTGAAGAAAAACTCTATACGTATCGTGGGCAAATTACCATACCCATAACACCTTTCGGACAGTGAGCGATTTCGTCTATTGCGAATACTATGTACACTGCAATCCATATTTTACTCATTATTTTTATTGCGAAAAATAATTTTAAAGTTAAAAATGTTAGGATTATTTCTTTTTCATTTTTAATATTTATATTTAAGTATATTTCATATACTTAATATACTCTGTATACACAAAAAAAACGTTTTACTTTTTGGATAGCTTTATTCATATGAGTAAACTAAATATTACTCAAATACTCATATGATATAACAGCTTTATTTTCGCTCACACCACACTGAACTGACATTGTAATAACATAACCATAGCCGCGTTCGGTTATCCAACTCCGCTAACTCTTTTCACTCCAACCCATTCGTTTATTACAATTAGTGACTTGAGCAATTTATTTACCGTTCGTTTACATTGGAGAGGAACACTCAGAACTCACTCTATATACCCCACCTCTTCGAGATAGTATTTACGGAGTAACAAAGGTAACCTAACTTAAAACCAAGTTTACAGAATACTATTTCTCTGTTATTGGTCTGTGATACTATTTCTATAAACTTTGCTATAGTGTATATGTTCTGTGCTTTGCTAAAACAAATATACATCATTTAATTAATGTGGTACCGTATATTCGGCATATCGGTCAACTTTTTTCAATGATTTCCTCTTCCTCGGAAGAATCATCGAATATTTCACGAACATAATTCACAATTGCAAAAGGAAAATCATTTAACTTTTGAACATAAAACATCTAACCTAAATTTTTTTCTCTTTACAAATGTCAGATTCCAGATTCTGAAACCGATCGTTTATAATTTGCTCTGTGCACTCTTAAAAAATCTGAATTCACTCCCAATCCACTCCACTCCTAATCCGTAACAGTTTGCCGAACGCAGCTCATATATTTGTCTTCTTCTTCTTCTTGTATATATTTTTTGACCTACTTTTTACAAACAAAAATTAATAACTGCCTACAAAAAATTGTAGGAAAGTGAAGTCACATCATTTTAGTTGCAATATCCAATCATGCTATTTTGTGTGGCAAATAATACCATGAAATATCAATTATAGTTTTTCGCGAGAGAAACAAAAAGACGACTCTCACTTCTCACTGTTTTTGAAACACTCAAATCTGCAGTCGACTCTATAGAATACAAATTTCTTTGAATATTATTGTGATTACTGCTTTAACATTTTTTTTTTTAATTTATTTACTTACCCTTTACTTCAATATTATAGCCATTTTAATATTTGTTCAATTTGCTTTGCTTTTTATTTAAAAAATATACGTTTATGCACACTTCTTGCACTAAATCTTACAACTCGTGGAAATATTTAAAAAAAAGTAAATCAGTAGAAACCGTAACGTTAAAATGGACTTTTAAACACTTTCTAACTTTATATAAAAATTTAATCTCACATAATCATAGCACACATATTATTTATTATCAAAAAGGGCAAAGTATTTACAATTTGATAATTTAAGTCAGTTATAATGGCTTAAATAACTTAAATCACGTATCATGCAGATATTTTACAAAAAAAAATAAACTTGAAACCAACACTTAACTTTTATAAATAGTATTCAAATGTGACAATACATCCTTGCTCAAGGGAAATTCGTTTAAATAGTTACCGAAACTGAGACAAATGGAAAACAAACTTCTCTTTACGGCCATAGTGACGGCAGCCTTCATTCTATAGTTAAAATCGTCGTATCCCGCTATTTTCCTCGCAAGCGTCGGCACCTTACTCAGCCTTTCCAAGCTCTGCTTGAGCTGCACCAGAGTCGTTACTATACCCGGTAGGTCCTTCTGGACGATGCCGAAGGGGTCCTCGACAAGAGACGAACACGCTATATCCGCAATCCCTTGGCTGGTCCATATGATCAAGTACCCGTTTGCCAAGCACTTCTGAATATTCGCCTGGGGTAGCTCCCCAAAGAAGAAGTTTATTCCCAAAACAGCCTTTAAAATCGCTATTAAGTTAGATATTTTTTGCTTGAGTTTCATCACTACCGTTTCCGGTAGGGTAAACACGGGCAGTGGTTCCTGTGTTACGTTTACGAAGTCCTCCAGGCCATTGTCGGAAACCATGGTCATGTTACGTAGATTCCGGAACTTGTCTGGAGACTGAAACGTGCACGGTGGTGCTATAGGAGGGACGGAGGGTTTGGCTTTTTCTACACTCAACGTGGATTTGTTTAAAAGCTCCGTGTATTCGTTGAAGAGTTTTAAAACGTTTTCAACTAAAGAGTTCCAGTTATGCGGATGTCCACCCGGTTGCGACAAAGTAAAGAACGCTCGTCTTCTACATTTCGACCACTGAGCGAGATTGTGTAAGTCTAAACATGCCAGATTTTGTACGATGGGCAAGCTGGACATGTTAATACTCTCCTGAAGGCATAGCGACTCGTTAGTTTCTTTAAACAAGGGAAACTGTATGGGTTCCGTTAGGAATAAGTTGAAGAAGAACCTCATCAGGTTCATGTTGAAGTAATAAATGGCACCGAATGTCCAGAGGTAGAAATAAATCAAAATCCCGTTGCTATTTTCTTCTTGCAAGAGTCCGAAGCTACTGATGAATCCCTCTCTAAGCGTAAAACCCCACACGTAGTACAAGACGATGAAGTAAGCGGTAGGTGCAAGGGATAACATAAAACTTTCTTTGAGTAAAGGTAAAAGCTGCGCCTTCATCTGAAGAACTTTCCTCTGGTACACCACAGGGAAGGAAAGGTGCTTCTCCGAAATGTATACCTTGACAAAATAATACAGACCCATCCAGAAACCACTTAGAATCAAGAAAAACGTACCTTCCTGCAAACAGTAGTTTTGTCCTTTACACTGGTAGGTTAAACTCTGATACTGTCCACCTCCGAGGGATAAAAACAGCCATACCAATGTCGCTCCAACTATAACGTTAAGAATTAGTAAAACCAGGTTATGGACGGAAAACACTGATATAAGTTTCTGGAACCTCGTTGAGCAGTAACTCGGCTTGAAGACGTAGTCCTTGGCACATATAATGCTTTGTGCAAAGATGATGGTCATGAAAGGGATTATAAACAACCATGTGCTTATCGAGGTGAAAACTTGAAACGTAGACAATATCCATTGCACCGGATGAAGTATGTTTAAATTCGATGCAAACACGTATATTTGCAGCAGTACTAGCTGTGATAAAACGCTGCAAACTACTGAGTAGTACAATTTCCTTAATAGTAAGTCTTTGTAGGTAAAACTTTGTTGGGAAGTAAGGTTAGTATTCATTTTAACGTTTCTTCGGTTCGACTGCAGCTTTTGTGGCACCTTGCTCGTAACAGGACTTATTAAGATTTAACACAAACCCATAAAAGTTAATTTAAATACTTGAATTAAATTGTTGAAATTACAATAAACCGCATTTCAGCGCCATTTACCGTTTTAAAATCATTCAAAATTTCAGGCAGCCAACAACTAAAAATTAAATAGTCCTACATTTCAACGAAATCGAATTAATGATTTTCTAACCTCAAAAGAAACTTGTCAAATCATTAATTTGAATTTCAAAAATTATAACTACACCAAGCTGTAATATTAAAATATGGTTTTTGGGGAAATTGTCGAACCCAGTACAAGGGCGCTAATTGATGAAGACTTAGAAGAGTATCCAGAGTACACTGAGTAAGTTGCTTTTTCCATTAACTAGTTTTGTTGAATTTAAAACAATTTTTTCTAGATCAATTCCAGACTGGGAAGGCAGTACAGAACCCCCGGGAAATATAGATACCCTTATTTTTATCGAAACAGGAAGAGTTACAGGAATTTTTCGAAACTGTGTTCTAGGAGATCAAAAAGCCAATTCGAAAATAAATAATGCAGGCATTGAAATCTTTGACATAACCGCACACAAATATTTGGTAGTTTTCACGGAAAAGAAAGAATTTACTTGTGGCGAAGTAAGTATTTACTGTTTTATATTGCGGTCGTTAAAAGTTCGTTTATTATTTCAGATAGTAGAACTACTGGATAGGTGGATAAGGGCAGCTAAACATATATATACAATAACATCAGAGTCTATATATAGTTATCAGAATGTTAATTTATATGAAAAGCCAGTGTCATTGGTAAAGGCATTGTCTAACGATGCAAACTCAAAAGGTTTTGGATATAGCTTGTTGGAACCTCCGAACTTGGTAACAGGTTTAGGAGCCAGCGTTTTATCGTATTGCGTTCATATAAAACTTAAGTGTAATTTGTTCGTCATGTACGTAGATACATCACCGTTGGATTCTCTAAATATGGGGCCCCTTTTGCACCTTATTAAAAAGTTGGACATTCCGTTAAAAAATACCGATGTTAGGCTGTCACCGTCTTCTAGTAATTTGTATATGTAGTGCATTGCTTAAGTTAATAAATTTTATTAAGTTATGATGTGTATTTTATAAAAACTTGGATAACAGGATATCGAAATTCAAAAATTCCTTTACATTTTTCGAAATTTAAAAAAAAAATTTAATTTTTATTGTTGAAAGAAGTGAGGTAGTTTTCTTAAATGAAAAAAGAATGGGGATGTTCATTTCTAAAAATGTATGTCTTTTTAACAAAACAATTAGTTTATTTTAACAGATAATTTTTCCCCATTTGAATTTTTTAAAGTTCATTTTATACTTGTGTGACGGCACTAAGGGAAAATTTGGGGAAATCACTAACTGTCTGTTGGCACACTGATGCGATTCTATAAATATGGGGTGCGTTCCGTAATTGTTTTCGGTAAATTTCAGTAAAGTGCACTAAATATTTTTGTTAAGAGAAGTGAACAAACCTAGTGAATAATGAACACACTGTATTTTGCATCAGCTGTCGATGTACGGTCTATCAGTAGGTTAGTTAACAAATTTCGAACTCATTTACTACTAGTTTCCAAGTTTCTCTATAGCAAGGCCGCCAACGCCACTTAACAAAAATTTTAATGCGTTTACTGAATTCTACTGAAGGTAATTACGGAACGCACGCCCAATGATTGTGCGCTATCCGCTAGAGGCCGCTACAGTCTACATTATGAAAACTAGAAACTTAAGATTTTATGGGTCTAAACTTTTTTAATTTGTAAACTAGCAAATATTAATATTTGGAGTTTCTAATCACAATTTTAATTTTAATTTTTCAAAAAAAAAATTACGTCTGGCTAATGCGTCATTTAGGTGGATAAATCTGGCAACCTGAAGTTGTAGGTGTGTTGCCAATGCAATAGAATAAATTATTCTAAAAACTACTACGTTGGGCGCCACTTTGAATTTTTTAATGACGTCAGAACTTATGCTGTAATTATTTTTAGGACTTAAACGAGGCGAAATGAAAAAAGAAAAAATAGGGGTCCCATCTTTTTTAACCCATTTTGTGATGTAGTTAAATAATTGAAATATAACTCACTGAAAAAAACTCGCAAAAAGTAGAACAAAAGTATATTTTTAATGTTTCAATTGATCTATCACAGCGACAAATTTAAAAAAATCTTGTCTGCAAAAAGCTTGGAATTAACAATGCTATTTTAACAATATAATAAAAATTAATCTACAAAATTGTAAAAAGTGATTTGTAGAACCTAAAGTAAATACAACTTTTCTTTTGAAGCTTACGATGAATAAAAATCCTTAACTAAAATTTGTACTTAAACAAAATTGATGTAAATTAGCAATATGACACAAAATCATAGCATTTAACGCAATTTATTGCAAAAATAGCACTGCTTGAACACTTTGAACTTAATAATTCACAATTCTTTTCTGGGTTCATAGTGAACATAATATTTAGCTACCAGCACCGCAACTTTTGCACTTATCCGTTTACAACCGGTCTTGGAAAATAGTTTACTGGAATCGGGTCCCCATTCTATAAATTCAAGCACTTCCCTGAAAAATAAAAAAATTTAGTCAACACTTTCTCGACTGTCAGCAAATACGAACTTTATGTGTACGAGGCTGGGGCTATCCACATTTCGCAGTCTAAATTCATCTTTTATACATTCCACAACATGCCGTTCCTCCATCGGAAGAAACGGAATGTAATGGTCAATTAAATTGCTTTTAATAGTGTCCGAACGATGGAATCCCCCTAAAATTTAAAGCGTAGTTATAATCGGTTACTGTGAAGTAAGTACAAGCACAGTTTTGGTTTATGTAACACAGTAACAAAACCAAAAATTGAAATCTACGCTTATTAACACTGATCACATCGTACCGGCGATAAAATGGTAAACGGAACCCAAATGTAGTTTATAAATTACGTTCCTCGCGATGTTATTGATAAATCCTTCTTTGTTCAACCAACCTTCTTCGTTAAATGCTCCCTTCGATATCAGATTTTCGAAATCGTTCTGTCGCAGGTCTTCTCGTTTCTTGCCCTCATGCCACAGTTGTTCGTAATGCTCGTTTATCAGACCGGCACCCGTATTCGATAAGAAAATAAATATAGACCTTGTGTAGTCCACACCGTCAACCATGTCACGGTAGTCTATCATTGGTTTAATGCCGTTAAGCACGGTGGCAGGCATTTTATCCACTTCATCAAAAATGAATAATTGTTTTGGACATTTTGTTATGTTTCCCTTTAACCACATGTATAAATTTTCCTACAACGAAAAAAGTAGAACAAATAAAACGTTTTGGTGCTATTAAATACCTTGTAAATTTGCGCATTCTCTTCTAAGGGAAAATGAATTCTTCCAATAAAATGGTGGACGTATTTACTCTTACTTCCATATTTATATAAACTATCGGCTATAAATTTTGAAACATAATTTTTCCCACTACCCGGCCAGCCATGGAAACTCAACGTTAAAGCTTTCTGGGATTTATGATAACCCCAATGAGCAGCTATGGCATCAACCACATTATTGACTAAGTGTTGGCCATATACTCGTTGGTTTAAAGCTCTTCTTAATTCTAAAAAAAATACAAATAAGATACATCCCATTTAAAATGACTTAACATACTGGGTATGTCTCCTGGAATAGTTTCATTGTCACAACACTCAGCTACCCAACAGTAAGGGTTGTAACTCCAAGAATATGTACACTTAATACAAATTACAACAATTATTAATTTTAACAAATTATTTATTAGCATGATTTAGGTTAAGGTGTAGTTCTCTTATAATTAAAATACTGTTAAGTAATTCCATTCATGCAGAAAGTATTTACGTGATTTTAAACGGTTGTACGTATAATTTAATAAAGGACATTTATATGTTCTGGGAATTACTCAATGCACAAAATTTAACGTTTCACTTATTCTTATTTCCATTCGTCATTACTCATCAGTTAGTTCTAGTTTCTAGTATCGTTTATCTAGGGTTAGTTCTTGGTGTATGGCAAGACTGATTAAATTGCATTGGTAACCCTGATAATGCGCCTTGTCAACTGTCAACGATCTGTCATCTGTCACACATTCAAATCATAACCTGCTTGTAAATGTCAACATTGTAATCTTGTAGGTATATTACATATCAACATTGAAGAAATGGCAAATGATAGAGAAATTCTTCGAGAAATTTGGGAAGGAAAATTGCCCGTCTGCTTCCGCTTGGACAGTGACGAAGTAGCGGACTTTAGAGAACCAGATCTTTTTTATTTAATGGTACCTAGAGTCAGCTACTTTCCCCTGGTAACGGATAAAGTGAGGAAGCATTTTTTAAAATACATAGTCACAGAAAAGCAAGAGCAAGAACTGTGGCTTGAATACAACGGACAGCCCTTAAAGTGGCATTATCCTATAGGGGTTTTGTACGATTTATTACACGAACCCGAAGATTTGTTACCTTGGAACTTAACAGTGCACTTTGATAAGTTTCCAGACACGGAAATTTATAAATTCAGCAATAAGTATGTGTTGTACGTTGATTTTTACCCCGTATGAAATTTATGTGTGTTTAGGGAAACCGTGGAGTCATATTTCATGTCTTGTCTGAAAGAAGCGGATGTGCTGAAACACAGGGGACAAATAGTGAGTAGCATGCAAAAGAAGGACCACAATCAGCTCTGGCTGGGTTTACAAAATGGTAAATAATTATTCCATTTTGGTTCTTGCCTCTCTATTTAGTGTTCTGTGTGTTTAGATAAATTCGATCAGTTTTGGGCCGTGAACAGGAAATTGATGGAATCTTCTGCCGATCATGAACAATTTAAGTACATTCCTTTTAGATGTTACCTAGAGGATGGCTACAGGCAAAAATTGGTGAAACCTTTGAACGACGATGGTAAGAAAAAGACGCTCCAGGATTTGCTGACCGAAATGTTTCCCAGTAGAAGTACCGGTAAGTTGAATTAGTTTTTCACTCGATATTTTCTGATATGTACAAATAACAATTTTTTTAAATTCTCGTGTGATTTTTATATCCACGTGTTAAAAAGGATGTTTTTGGATTAACTGATGCGCTATCTTTAACAATAGTAATCCCCAGTATAGAAAATAATCCCTCGGATAAAAACGATTATAATTTTTTTTTTATTTGCAATACTTGATCGTTTATAGGATTTTCGTTTTTCCAGTAAAAGTAAAAACTCATGGTCTGGTACCGCCCCTGGAGACACCCCTTCAGTGGATGTCGGAACATCTCAGCTACCCCGACAACTTTCTCCATCTGTGCGTACAATAAAATACGAATTGACGCTAGCTTTCCTATAATTAAGCCTTTCGTTTGATCCGTGTTCGTCAAAATGCCGTTTCAAACAGCAGAAACTCTCTACATGACCGTGTTATGTTAAGTTCAGTCAAATAAGGGGATCGAGAGAGTCATACGTTCGAGACCCGCAAAGTATAGGGTTGCGAGAGGCGGTGTATTTAATATTAGTTAACGTGTAACCGACTGTTTGCATTTAAGCTGTAATAGCTCGTTTAGTAGCTGCTTTGGAGCCCTAAGTTTGTGATTCGTTTATAAGTATGTAAAAGTTTTGCGATGCCATCTATCAGAATTTACCGAAACGTTGCTTTTCATTTGTTTTAAATGTGTTCTCTTGCCACGATTCCAGGATTTAAGAGGGCTCGATAGCAAATAGACAACCAGTAATACAATATTACAGATTTTATTACACAATTTGTCTAAATATGAATTTATGCACAAATAACAGACATTCCCCCATTTTAACGCATATTTTCTATAAAATGGAGGGAGTTTGAAACTCAAATTACTTTTTGTTAAAAAGAAATTTGTAATTTGCCCGTTTCAAACAAGCGACATCGTAAATTACGAATTTCTTTACCCCAAAACGTAATTTGAGTTTCAAAGTAACTCCATTTTATAGAAAATCTGCGTTAAAATGGAGGAAAGTCTGTTATTTGTGCATTAATTCATATTTAGACAAACTGTGGAATAAAATCTGTAAAATTGTATTGCTGGTTGCCTATTTGCTATAGAGCCATCTTAATTTTATCGACACTTCAAGCCGTACCTCGTAATTTTTAGCATTCGATATTCCAATTTCAATTAAAATATTCTCCAAGGACCTGACTATATACAGGGTGAAGGGGAAATTCTGTAATTTAATTGTTTTACAAATTGTATATTTAATTGCAACTAAACAACATCCTATATATTATGCGGTTTGTTTAAATGAATGGTGTGTTAGGAGAATAGTTTTTTTTCTACTTATCGTAACCGTTACTTTTTGACCAAACCTCGTATAATCTAATTCAAAGTTTTGCCGATTGTTCACTATTTCTTTTTTTCAAATATGTACTCGTAAGTCATTAATTACATCTGTGTATAATTTTTTTTTATATTATGGTCCAAATAAAATATTTATATGTACTTGTGTATTGAATGTCCCTGGGAAACAGATTAAATTTAAATTCGTAACTTGTCACACCTAATATATTAAAAAATTTTAAATAAACAAATAAAAAAAATTGCCTTTATTTGTGACCTACGCCCGTATCCTTAAAAGTGCTTTTGCCATTATGAAATTAAAGTATGTCTTTACCATCTATCCCACTAATCCTTAAACGACCTTCACAAGATTAATAAGACTTAAGTATTATCTTACATATTATTTTCTACTGGCTTCTACAACAGAACTTTCACTACTATTTTATATACGATGCGAAATTTGCATTCAGGAACCAATATTTCCAGTTTAATCAATTTCTTGTCAGTTTGAAATAGGTATTATTATTTATACTTTATGAATAGTGCATGCATATTATGTGCATTAAAGATTTTAATTCTACCCAGAACAATATGCCCTGTAACGCCACTGAAAGAAGCTATTCTGTATTTGATTCCAGTTGCGGGTTTTTTTTATTCGAAGCACATAAAGAAAAATAATAAAAATAATTTCTGTTCTTAAGTGCAATGGTAACTACTTAACAATTAAAATGATAAAAAAAGTCATTGAAACGACGTGTCGGTGTCGCAAAAGATGAATAATGTTAATGTAATGCAAATTATTACAATAACCGCTATCGCAGCTGCCTTGCGTGTAAGGAAGAAGTAACAGACCAATGAAACAATCAAGGATCAAGGTTATTTACCGAAGTGTTATTTGTTAAGAATCTGTTTCACTCCACGTTTACCAATTTTTAACCAATGAAAATTTGACACGATTTTTGTATTGCTTGTCTCGTGCTAACTCAACACAGCTTGGCCATTTTTCTTAAATCAGTTTGTTGTACCAGAAATTTGTTAACAACGAAATCGATAAACTACCGATAGAAGTACCGAAGTAAATTTTATAGCTTCAATAAATTTGTCAATAATCAGAAATAATAGAATTCGTTTTGTTTGTGGCTAACTTGACAGTTCAAGTAGAAAACTTTCGAGAAAGTCTCATATTTGACTTACGTAATTTCGAAAACTGACAACGTCGTGCATAGCGCAGCTGTGTGTGAGCGAGAGAGATTGATGGAAACAGAATAAACTGATATTTACGGTACGGGGCACAAAGTTAGGTTAGGGTTGAAATTTAGTGGATGCATTACAATTTTTTGGTGAGTATTTAAAAAAAATTGCAGGAATCGTCCTTATTGCTCGATTTATTTTATTAGTTCCTTTAAACGAAACAGTTTTTCTTCAATGTGCGACGTGAAGAGAGCGTAAAAAAAAACGAAATTGAAGTTTCTAGTTTCTAATTTTCGGATCTAGTTCAAGCAATTTTATTGCATGAATCGTTCAAAGGGTCATTTTAGATGAAAAAACCGCGGAGTGCTATTAAATTAGAGGGTGGAAATTGGAGATAGGGGTGAAAATGCACCCCTTTCAGTTTTTTAATTGTAGCTCGAAAACGAAGCAAAATTTCGCTAAAGTTCATAGGGAAAATTATTTAGAGAATTGAATTTCCCATCGAAATAGCTTATTTAAAAAATTGAAAAGGAAAATTTTAAGCAAAAAAATCATTAATAAACAATTTGAAAGAAAACAAAAAATTCGATTTTCTAAATTTTTTTAGTTTTTTGCCTCTAGTTTCTTTTTGAGTAAAGATAGGTATAGGCATTGCTTCATAGAAAAAAAAGTAGATAAGATTTCCTTCAAAACAAGAGGTTGTAAAGTATTTTTGGATGAAAATTGACTGATATATGACCGCTCAAACTTGGCCAATTTTTCGATTTTCGTCGCCTTTTCCCTTATACGTTTTAATAATCATTTTTTGCAAAAAGGAAGGAAATAAGACGTTCAAGGATTTTCATCACATGACTTGTTCGAAGGGTCATTAAAAATGAAAAAACCGGGGGGTGGTATTAAATTAGAGGGTTGAAATTGAAGATAGGGGTAAAAATGCACTTTTGCAGTTTTTTAAATATAGCACGAAAACGAAGCAAAATTTCGATATAGTTCATGGGAAAATTTTTGTAGAGAATTGAATTTCTCATCGAAATGGCTTATTTAAAAAATGTAAAAGGAAAATTTTATGCAAACAATTGTTAATAAATAATTTTAAAAAAGCAAAAAATAAGATTTTTTGTTTTTTTACTTTTTTAATAAAATAATTTAGTAAAAACTTGAGAATTTAAGTATAATAAAGTTTATTAATAATGTATATACAGTGTGTCCACGAATGGAGTTGACAAGAGGAGAAACTCTTTTGTTTTTGACTTTATCGAAAAATGCCACTCTTTATAAAAAGTTCTGCCCCTCGAAAAAATTAGACTGTCATACAAACATCTTAGATTAGATATACCGGATGCACATAAATTAAAAAAACACAAAAATAGTCAAGGGAGAAGTACCATTCTTATTTTACACAACATTTTTGTAAAACAAATCTGTTTATAACCTCAAATAATGTCCTAATACAAATTTTAAAATAAAAATTTCAATTCTGACTTACTCTATATGTAACCACCTCAAAAATTGAAATTTTGATTTCATAATATTTGAATAGCTTGGTATAACTTTGCGAATAATGAATAAACTAAGGATATTCACTGTAACTTTTCAATTTCAAAGCGTCCTAACGAAATCCTGAGCGATTCAAAGCGCAGCAATTTTTGTTTCCTAAAGCCCAGAATGTTTAAATTTGTCGTTTTTCCTGAAAATCAATGTAGCGAGTAATTTTTCACCTTTCATTAATTTTTTTAAATCGAAAAGGTTTTTTTTAGCGATAATCCATAATTTCATCAAAAAACGTTAATTATTGTAAAAAAGGGAAAATTAAATTATCAATGAGCTTTATGGTGAAATTAACAAAAAAAATAGAGTTCATAGACCTATTTAGATAAGTAAAAATTTGGATTTTTTTCATTGGAAAACTATAAACTTGGTTCAATTTCCTTTTTTTATTCTCTCTACGACTATTTTCCTTCAAGTTACACCTCTTTGAAAATCACCCCAAAGTTTGGGACTTTTTTAATACCCTTTAATTTGTTTGATGATTTTTCTTTGATTTTTTAGTGGAAACTTAAATAAATTTAAAACTTTTAAGTCTAATTAAAATTTGTTTTATATTATAAATTGATGAAATTTGATATAGGAGTGATGATAATTCGTTTGAAATATAATGCAGTTACATTTAGTGGGTTTAACATTGATATCGGCTTTTTAATTGTATTCAATAACATTTGTGCTTCTCATCGCTCATCCGTTATCTTGTTTTGAAGTGAAATTTATCTTATCTGGGATTACTGGCTTAGTAAATATTAGTGCCGATCATCGTTCTCGAGTAAATAAAACGCAGATTATGTTATATACACATTTTTTATTAATATCCTCTATAAAATATCTCATATAAAATAATACAATATCTATAAAAAGTTTTGAGCGTCAGCTCTGCTGACGATATACGGGGGAGTCGATAAAACAATTCTCCAGAAAAATTCTCACAACCTACATCGCGGCGTAAGGTCACAATATTCCCTCCGTTACACAACTAATATATACAAATGTTCAAAGTAAACGTAAATTAATCCCTAAAATCACATTATTAATTGCAAACTCCAGTACTTTATATAATTATATAGAGCCTAAGGTCTGTACAAGATTAAAAATAAATAATAAATATGTTTTGGCATTGGCGCCAATCCAACTGAATACAATGTATATATGGCAAAAAAGGAAGACAAGAACTGAATTTAAAATCGGTCGAGAAAGTATTGCAATTTTCAGGTATCCAAAATAGCTGCCTCCCATCTCATTTGGCACGATTCGTCTTAAAATCTACAAGGCACAGTTACGATTACTATCTGAGCAATATTTTTGTAAAGTTAGCACCCATTTTAACGTTAAGGCAAATATACAAGTCGTAAAAATACGTAGTAGCAAGTAGGATATGTAATTCGCGGGCGTGTCCGGTCGCCCGCGTTCCCCTAAAATTTAAAATCTAGTAGACTCCCGGCTTTTAAACTACGCGACAGCGGAACGTCGCTCCTACCTGACGGTATGCATCTGCTTCATAGTCTCGTCCCTCAGCCGCAACTCTTCCGCCTGCTTGAGCCACTTCTGTATCTGCCTGCGATGGACGTTGTATTTCGTAGCCACGGCGCGCTGATTTCCCTTACACACCGAATCCTGGTAATAGCAATCGATGGCGCTCAGTTTAAAATCCAAGCTGTAGCTCTGCCTCTGTTTGAGCGGCGCCAAACCCTGCCCGTACCCGACGTCCTCGTACCCGCCGCAATAATTGCCGCCGATTTCGTAATCGCCCGGCGAGTAACTCGGGTACGAAGGGTGGTAATAATAGCTCGCGGCGGATTTCGGCTGCAGTTCGAGCAACGTGTAGGTATTGTAGTCGGCTTTGATGTCGCAAACGACGTTGTTGTTGTTGTTGTTGTAATAGAAGGCCTCGCACCCCTGCGCTGCCGAACAGCACGGCATGGCGGGCTCCAGTTTGACGACGGACGCGGGGCACTCCTCGCCGACGTCGTCCAGGTACGGCTTGAACAGCTTGACGGGCTTGGGCGATGTGAAATCGTCGCACTTCCTCTTCAGGCTCTTGGTGGACAGGTCCCAAACATCTGGGTGAGGCCGCGCCAGACTGGGCGACGCTGACGGCGGCGGCGGTGGGGAGGGGGGCGCGTAGCTCGCAGGTGCGCTCGGGGAAGTAGGTCTCTTGAAAGACAGGTCCATTGGCGCCGAGGGGTCGGCGGGGGAGGGGGGCGAGCCGCGGCTGTGCGTGGTGAAGTCCAGGGGCAGGGGGGCGCCCCCCGTCCAGGGGGCCGCCGAAGGGCTCTGCGCTAGCGCCGGAACCCGCTGCTCGGCCGCGCTGGCGCTCCGCGGTCTCGGCTCGTCGTCCCGCTGTCTGCCGCTGCTCAAGGCCACCGCCTCGAAGTCGCATTTTCTAACCTCGGGACCGCGCTCGCCGCGGCTCGATTTCTCCTTGGCACTTACGCTGCTCCTCAGCGTGTTCTCCACCTGCAGCCACTTCTGGATCTGGCGGCGGTGGATTCCATACTTCCTGGCGGTGGCCCTCTGGTTGCCCTTGCAGTCGGCGTCGTTGCGATAGGAATCCAACACTTGGAGTTTGAAGTGAGGGGCGAATATGCGACGTGATCCGATGCCTTTGCCCTCCGTTTTGCAATTCGCGCCCGCCACGCTCCTTTTTATCACCGAATTCAGTCCGTGGGCCATCGTACGTCGGCCAGGAGCACTGGGACACTTTTAAATCAAAATAAATCCTCGAAAAAACAACTAAAATAGCACTGAGGTTTATCTGCGACCTATGTAGCAACCATTTTTCGTCACGATTCACAGAAAACCCCCACTCTGCTGACTAAACTGTAAACTCACGCCATCAAAAGGGATTTGAAGTGTATTTTGCGGAGGCATCAAAGAAACGCCCGACGTGCGACAGCGGCTGCCGCTCCACTAGACGGAACGGCGCCTGGGCGGTCCGTACGTCGAAGATCGCACAGTCGCCATAGAGGCTCCGACATCCGTTTGTGAAACAAGTTTACTGGCACTGTTGCCGGTTGAAAATAGTTTTCGCCTACTTATTTTCAGAGCGTCGCTAAACGTTTTTCTTGAGAAAACCCAACACGACATGTAATTTGCTCGAATGTTATTCAAATATTAGCGGTTGCAAACAAAGAATTACCGATTTAGAACGCTTTTGTGGATTTGGAATGTGAGGAGCTGGCAACAAGGCCGTTGGTCACACCAGACACTGTGTCGCCAAGCCAGCTAGGCCAGACAACGCGTCTCTGGTTCCCTTTCTTTTCATTCATTAGCAAACAGATGATAATGGAGGTTTTTATTGCTCTTGCTTTATATACATGGATTTTCTTGTTATGTTACCGTATCCCCTGGACTTGACCGTTTCGTGCAAAAAAAATGCGTTAGTCTTGATGTTTTGCTAGAATAATAATTACGTAATTTGTCAATGGCGCTTTGTTTTAAATTGTTTCCTTGTTAATTACTAGATTGATTTTTTTCTCCTCAACTGATTCGGGCTTCTATAAACAAATTAAATATTGGAATTCTACCTTAGTAACACATGTATTTGCTACATAATAAAAATATAGGTAGGTAGGTACCGCATACTTAATTGGTTAAATGTTTAATAAAATATAACGAAATAAAATATCTACATAATACTAGATACATATGTAACTAACTAGATACGATAAAATTTAAAATCATACTTTAAATACAAGCATTTTTAAAGAGTATATCTATATGTTTGGTAGATGTATACTTATTTTTAGGCAGAGTGTCTCTTTAACCTTGATATTTGTGTTTTACACATAAATTAGTTTGATTCCACAATAAAAATTTATTGTATATTAAGTAATTGGTATTTTAGGCTAAATCTGAATTCTTATGCTTACAAATATAGATACTACATTATAATATATACATATTAAATATATCTAATTATAAATACCCACTGGTTATGCAACCAATAATACAGCCAGGTGATAAACCGGTTGCATGTATAAGTCCGCCAAACAAGAAAAAAAGAAAGACATAAAAATATATTGTTACTTGATGTACAATATAAAGTGAAATAAAAGTTATTTCAATTATATTGTCATCATCCTAGAAGTAATGAAAATCAATCTACACACCATAGAAATTACTACTTATACACGTTTTTTCTTTCCATCAGTCTATGATATGTTCTATCGTGTATCTTGAATTTTCTTGTTCTGTCATATTTTTATAAAGAAGTTTTTTTTTTCTCAAATAAAATGGATCTATGCATGTAGAGATGATCTGACAATTTAAAATTATATTTGTCACATATAATTGGGTATTTTATAGTTTGTATATTACTTAAACTTGCATAAATTTTCTGCTAACGCAGAAATTGATTAGGGAATTTATATCGTCTAGGTTGGTATTGAATACATGAAATTCCTAACCTCTTTTACGTATCTCGTAACTAACCTAAAAATTAAATATTTCCCAAGTTGTTTACCACGTTGCATGGCCTTTTTATGAAATCTGTTAGCAAATAAGAAGAGGGCGGATACAACATGGGCAAAGGTGTTAAAAGACTCGCTAGTAGTAATGATAGTGGACCTATTAAGAGTAAGTTAAAGTCGAAGTTAAATTTCATTGTATACAGAAATTGAAATTAATAAATTCTAAATTTTACAGAGAAGCAAAAGAAAATAAAGTTAAAGAAACGCAAGAATGTAGAGCAAACTGATGGGAAGACAAACAAAACAGATGTAGTCGATTCCGTGGAAGTAAATAATGGAGACATGGACACAGAAAATTGTGACTTGAAAGATAAACGTGAGTAACTATTTAGCTGATTTAAACGAGTTAAAATAGTCTCAACCTTGTAAGGTTTTTTTAGTACATGATGATTTAAAGGCGAATGTGATGTTTCCTCGAATTTGTTCTAAAATTCTAGAGTAGAGACGGCATGAATACATCATATAATTACTGATATTTAAATAAAAAGTGTGTATAATTGTTTAATATGTCTTTCACTTATTCACATCGAACATTTTAGTTCCCGGCTCAAGCTCTACCTTGGAAATTTTAAGCAGTTGTACCTTCGAATCCTTGAAGGACAAAGTTTGTGAAAACACCCTGAGGGCCATCGCCGACATGGGGTTCACCACTTTAACAGAGATCCAAGCCAGGTCGATACCTTCACTGTTAGAAGGTAGAGATTTGGTGGGCGCTGCAAAAACAGGCTCGGGCAAAACGCTAGCATTCCTGATACCCGCTGTCGAGCTGATTTACAAGTTAAGGTTCATGCCGCGTAACGGTAAGCACCCAAAAATATATTTACTTCAGTTTCTTTGCAGTTTTTATTGTTTTAGGTACCGGCGTCATAATTATTTCGCCGACCCGCGAACTGAGCATGCAGACTTTTGGCGTTCTGAAAGAACTGATGAAGTACCACCACCACACTTACGGTTTGGTGATGGGGGGCACCGCCCGTCAGGCCGAGGCTCAGAAGCTCGCCAAAGGTATAAATATCCTAGTGGCGACGCCCGGGAGGTTACTCGATCACCTGCAGAACACGCCGGACTTTCTGTACAAGAACTTGCAGTGTCTGGTCATCGACGAGGCGGACAGGATTCTCGAGGTCGGTTTTGAGGAGGAGATGAAGCAGATTATCAATCTTTTACCGAGTAAGTTTCGTTTTCGGTCACGATATCTTTGAAAATTCTCACGTGTTTGTGTAATGTTAGAACGGAGGCAGACGATGCTGTTCAGCGCCACCCAGAACAAGAAAACCGACGCCCTGACGTCTCTGGCTCTGAAGAAGGAACCGATTTACGTGGGCGTCGACGATGCCAAGGACGAGGCGACGGTCTCGGGTTTGGAACAGGGGTACGTCGTGTGCCCCTCGGAGAAGCGACTGCTGGTGCTCTTCACATTCCTCAAGAAGAACCGGAAGAAGAAGGTCATGGTGTTCTTCAGTTCCTGCATGTCGGTCAAGTACCACCACGAGCTGTTCAATTACATCGACCTTCCCGTGATGTGCATTCACGTAAGTCCGTTTTCTTTACCCTTGTCGTTCCCGTGCTAAGCACCGTGGGGGCAGACCCGCTATCGGATCCCTAGGTCCTCACTATTTTTCATTTCAGGGCAAGCAGAAGCAGAACAAACGTACCACCACGTTCTTCCAGTTCTGCAACGCGGAAACGGGCATCCTCCTCTGCACGGACGTCGCGGCCAGGGGTCTCGACATCCCCGCCGTCGACTGGATCGTGCAGTACGATCCCCCGGACGACCCCAAGGAGTACATCCACCGCGTGGGCAGGACGGCCCGAGGAGAGGGAGGCAGCGGTCACGCCCTGCTCATACTCCGGCCGGAGGAATTGGGCTTCCTGCGGTACCTGAAGCAGGCCAAGGTGCCCCTGAACGAGTTCGAGTTCAGTTGGAGCAAGATAGCGGACATCCAGGCGCAGGTGAGTGGATTCAAATCGGGCGAATGAGGCGGATCGAGCAAATATAACGCAACGAGAAAAAAAACCTAATTATTGTTGCTTTAACTTTCGAATCTTTTCGTAGTTGGAGAATTTGATCGGGAAGAACTACTTCTTGAACATGTCCGGCAAGGAGGCCTTCAAAGCTTACGTCAGGGCGTACGATTCCCACCACCTCAAGACCATATTCGACATAAGCACCCTGGATCTGGCGAAAGTGGCGTTGTCTTTCGGGTTCAAGGTGCCCCCAGCCGTCGATCTTAAAGTGTCCGCGAAGAAGGCCGAACGGCCGGAAAAGAAGCGGAAAGGCGGCGGGGGGTTCGGCTTTTACAAGAACATGAACCAGACGAATAGCAAGAATTTCAAGAAGAATACCGTGTACAGGCAACCGAGGAAGAGAGGGGGGCCCGATTCGAGGCAGTTTTCTAGATAAAATGTTTGTTTTATGTTATTGATATTAAAGGAATGGTTTTTCATTTGTTTTGTTTCATTTCGGGGAAATCTATGTTGATGATTACAAAATTTTTCAATTTTTCGAAAATATTTTCGATTATTTTGGTTTCAGTTTCAAATTAGGTCCTCCAGATGGCTGTGGAAGGTAATTAGTGTGATCTTAGCTTTATAGATAATCCCATCTCTAAAAACAATTGAACAAATTCTAGTTGTTTGACATTCCGCTAGATGGTTTGACAGTTCGCGAAATTTTCAAATTAAACTTTTTAAATATAAATATTAAATAGGTGAATTTCGTGATATATATTACTGTAAAATAAAAAAATAATACATAAACCATAAAAACTGTTACCACAACATGGCGAAAAGAAAGGATGTGTTCTTACCAAAAATTAAATTAAAGTGTTTGTGGAAAAACCTAGTGCGGGAAGTTGATTACATGAATTTGCGGATGTCAAGAAAAAAATGCTCTTGAAAATTCATATTCGACCAATATACTGTGAGTAACAAAATAAAGAATTGCAATTTACTTGTATTATTTTTGTTACTTCGTACGACTACTTTTGTTGGACGTAAGGTTGACATTTTGAAATTTAAAATAAATTTGAAACTTTTTAACTAATATGATTTAATTTTAACTACTATAACTTCTTCTTTTAAGTATTCTATATTATTACTATAACCCCATTCTTAATTATCTATTACCTGTTCATTCACAATTCATACATAACCAAACTTAACCTAACTTTTTCTTGCAAAGCTAGTATGCATTTTTTAAGTATTATTTTTATTTTCAACCTATATTTATTTGTGAGATTTATGTAAGCCAAGTTTTTAATGTCCCTCTAAATTTGTGCACACCCTGTACGTGAATACCAATCGACGTCAATAAATTTATTAGAAAGTAAGTTGCGTTACACCTATGCGGATTAGAGGACAAATGGCGCTTCAGTGGGCAGCTTTTAACATAATTAATATACGGCAAACCGTCGTATATGGCCATACTTTCATTGGATCGTTTTACATAAACAAATAACGCGTAGCCGTCGAAACACCGTTTGTGATACATACATTTAGTTTCCTACTCACGGATATGGAGGTATGATGTAAACAAGTTGGCGAAACGGTTTCACAAGAATTTGCTTAATGTTTGGATACCGCGGATCGAGATCTAGTAGGCAGATTTTACGATTGTCTCGGAAGCGACAAATGCTATTGGATAACTCACCTCTGCGATACCTTGTTTGTTTACACGAGGATTGATTCTTTGAAAAAAATAATCTGGTTGAAGAATTTTTGTAGTTTCACATTTAAAACTGTATGCAAGTTCTGTTGTAATACAGACAGTGAACAATGTATTTTTGTAACAAAATAAGATTGCTTGGGTTGATCCAACAGATAATCGAGCACTATTACCAGTGGACCGAAGTATAGATCAGTTATTACTAACGTTATTATAATTATTCTTCACGGCTTACGCGCAGGAAATACGCATTGTGCGTTTTATATTTTATAAAAGTGTAATTTAATGTTGCCGTTAAGTTCGCGATCGCTATTATTATTAATTAACCGAAATTAATCCACGCTTTGTGCTTTGCAACTTATAATCTGCCGGGAATATCAAACAAAAAAATTATTAAGTCAGTTTTTTTGCTGTAGTTTTTAGTAGTACCATTTGTTCTCTCTTCCAGTGCCATCAGTGACTTACCTGTACAAGTGAATATATGTAGATCGATTTATAATGTTTGTAAGGCGAATACCTACACAAGCCTTGACTTGACTAGAATAACCATGATACGTATTACTTGGAACGTGTGCTTGTCAAGTGCGATATATTATGCAATTGTTAGTCGCTTTGCAAGATCAAAATCACCGACGACGCCTACGCCGCTTTGCTCGTAGGGAAATTATAGGCTTCGCGTTAATCAATTGTTTTTCGAGATAAGTTAACGTGAATTGCCTTGGAAAATCGCTTTTATTAAATTATGAGGTGTTTTATTAATGGTCTCGACGCTGATTGTTGCTTCCCAAATGGCGTCTGTAGGTTAAGCGTCATCTTGGTATTTTACATCCGTGTTTTCGGTAAATCAGTGACGGTCTGGAAAAATAACAATTTGTAGACGAATTGTAAGGTGCCAGACTTGACGTTCGATCGCCTCCTTTGATGGCTCCACAGGGTACCAGCAGCGGTCTCCGTCTTAGATTTGAACATTTTGTCTTTCCGGATTTTGCCCATCTTTAGAATTTGCTCGACTCGTGCTGATTTCGGCACTGCTGTTGACTATATAAAGTATTGTTCAGTCGTTTGCATACGGAATTTATTAAAATCTCGCATAACATCTGTGTTTTTTAACCAGAAAGCAGTAAAAGGTCCCTTGAACTCGCCCCAGCAGTTCGGCGTGGTAACTCAATATTTTCCATAAAATCTTAATGTCTTTTCGCTCGATAGGGAAGGTTACCACTACCTGAAACGCCCCCCTGCTCGCCTACCACCAGCCCAAATATAGAGTCGGTCCTCAATAGAAATAAATGGTGCTAATTTTTGTCATGACGCTTTTCGGAGGTGAATAACAAAACGAGACAGTCACCTCAGTTGGCTCTGGAAAAAGTACACGTGTCTACCCCCAAGAAGCTTAATAGTACAGTGATTGAAGCTGAAAATCAGCTGTAACCACCGAATTCTTTGAAACTGCATGGCTTTGCATGAAAATTTAGAATAAGGCTCATCTTAGGCTCAAGTTCAAAAGTGACATAAGTCCGATTGATGCCTTTTGTTTTTTAGGGGTAAAAACTACCCCTAAGTGAAAAAAATTAAAAACAATTAAGTTTTAAGCATTTTATTGATAAAATTCTTGTTCAAGCACAAAGATTAATTAATGTTCCATGTCCTCGAACATGTTTTATGATATATTTGATCTTTTCGACCCTTTATTTAACCATTAAAAACTACCCCTATGCTAAAAATAATAATAAAAAATTACTTTGTAAAGATTTGGAATGATTGAATCGTGCAATTATTTAAAATAAAAGTTACCTTGTAGCTAATAAAAGAATTTTTCCCTTTCAACCCCTAAAAACCACCCCTGTATTGGCAAAAATGATAAAAAATTTACTTTTTAAAAGCTTGGAATGCTTTAACGGTGCAATTATTTAAAATAAAAATTCCCATTGCATATGAAAGAATTTGTATCTCATAACACTTTTCAACCCTTATAAATCGCCACTGTGCTAAAAAAATGATACAAAATTACGTTTTAAATCTTGGAATGCTATAATTGTGCAATAATTTAAAATAAAAATTCCCTTATATTGTTTATGAAAGAATATTTTACTTTTGCCATTTTCAACTCTTATAAACTACCCTTTTACCAATATTAATGTAAAATATTTTTATTATAATCGATTTTTAAATATAATCAATCATAAAAAAATTGCTACGCTGCATATAAATAATCACACTAAATTTTTTTACTTATTTTATTTGTATAATATAATATATAATATATAAAAATGAGAAAGCCTATTTTGCTCCGAAAAAATGTCATTGGTTTTTTTTTTACCATAACTCGGTTAATTTTGAAGCTATAGTATCCTACAAAAAAGCATTTTAAAGATAATTTCAAGAGCTGTAAGATCGTTTGCATATAAAACCTTTTAAGTCCTCCGTTTTTTAAAGGGAAAGGATCGAAGGGCTCGAGATAGGTCGTTTTTTCACTAAGCGGCGATATCTCCTTTATTTTTTATGCTATAGGAATAAAATAAGCAAAATATTTGTAGAAAAAAGCTACATTTTTGTTGTCTATCATTTTTTACGTATCTTTCATAGTTTCAGTTATTATATAAATAAGGCAATTTTTTTTTAATAATGGAAAATACGTTTCAATTTTTACCGTACATTATTAAAAAAATAGGCATTCTAAACCGGTCTAACTTCAGGATCGTATCAAAAACACTAAAACAAAACTTATTGTAAAGGGTCTACGATTAATTTTAATTCTGATGGAAATGGTACAGCGTTAACTGCTCATTTTTCCTTAAAAAATATGAGCAATCCATCTATTTTTGAAGATAACTCCTTCAATTTTGCTCTAATTAACTTTTATAAGTACTCATTTTGAAGGTCTTTTTGAGTACTACAAAACACTCGTGGAGCGTTATACACGTAAAATTTATCCTTTTTCCGTTATTTGACGTGGAATACATCGATTCGAGTGTTCCCCCCAAAACAAGTCCCCTTCCACTAACCATATTTCGCTTTGTATAGGACGTACAACACTTTTTAAAAAACGATTTTCTTTGTTTATTTATAAGCTACATTACACTTTTTTAAATAAAATGCTTAATTTTTGAGTTATTCGCGAAAAATACTTTGAAAGTGTTTTTTTCACTCAAAATTCCAAGTTGTCAATCGTGAATAACTAAAAAACTATTGACTTCTCGAAAATATTCTTCGAATATTTTTTTTTCAAAATTTGATTATCGATTTTCAGTTATTTTTGAAAAAAAAATCCACCCCCAAGAAGGGGTGTCATTTGTCAACCCCCAACAGGGTGGAAGCATCAATCGGCGCTATGTCACTAATGTCCATTGACCTTTTCTCTAACTATCTGCCAAATTTCAAGTCGATCGGTTCAGTTTCAAAGAATTCGGAGGTGAAAAGCTTCAATGACTGTACTATAAAAGCGTTCATTTGTTTACAAAAGGAAACGTACCAATCAGAAAAACTAATATCACCTTCCGAGACGGATCGAAAGAGATATTTCAACACACTTCCGAATTTGTGAACTCACTATTTTAAAGATCATAAGTGAAACATGTGAAACTTTTACTGTCCACAGCTGTACCTCTACCTTATATTTCATCGGCTATTTAGATTTTGGTTTAACACCACAAACAAATTTGTCATACAGGATTATTAGGTGCCGTACTCCGTATATTCAGGGACGTCGGAAGCTGTTTACTCGTGTATAACAAATGGAAATGAAAAAGAAATAAAACAGCTCCTCGTTTACGTACACGACGA